GTATCATGTGTCTATATGTATGAAGTGTGTATATGTACAGACTATATCATGTGTCTATATGTTTGAAGTGTGTATATGTACAGACATGTGTCTATGTTTGAAGTGTGTGTATGTGTATAGATTTTATCATCTGTCTATATGTTTGAAGTGTGTGTGTGTGTATATATGTACAGACTGTATCATGTGTCTACATGTATGAAATATATTGTGTGTATATGTGCATAAGTTTAGAGTATATAATGTGTGCATATGTATAGTGTATCATGTGCATATGTACAGTGTATGGTATGAGGTGCCGTGTAGGATTTAAATCAAACTTTGCTTATCAACACATACATAAAACATGTGTATATACACCTATAAATTACTCTCATATACACCTATACTACTGGATGTTCAAAACAACATAGATGAAACTTGTTTATATACATATAAACTTGACGCATGAATACACCCACATACACACGCGCATACATATAAACTTGATCCTCACATTAACACACGCACATACATATAAACTTGCTAAATGCAAACACACCTATACACACTCGCATATACATATATACTTGCTGCATGCAAACACACCTATACACACTCTTATATACATATGAATTTGATCTATGCATATACACCCATAAACTGTCACATAAGAATATAAACTTGATGTGTGCATAAACACCCAAATGACACTTGTGCAAACATACAAAATAAAATTCACAAACATATATACAGTTTGTTGTGTATATACATATATGCAAGGGATTTCATATGTGTATGCATGAATTTTCACAGTAAAAGGAAGTTATTTCACTTTAAAAGGAAGTCGTTTAATTTCAACGTAAAAGTCCTTTGAGCGTAATTAACAAGAATATAATTTGTCATGAGTCAGGTTATTGCAAAGCTTAAGAAACAAAAATAATGTGATTAATAGAGGAATTACATCTGTTGAATTATGAAAATAGATTATGCTAATTCTAAAAAATAAATAAATCAAAAGATAATGCTAAGGAATGCTCCTGCAAAGTTAAAGGTTTATTATGCAATTAAATTATTAGAAATGTTATTATGGTTTAATAAATATAAGGTTGCTTAAGTAATCATTTTGAATAAAATATGTTTGTTTATTATTAGTTTTTTTATGTTTGTTTTATTATTGGTGTCACTATTCGTCAAGGGTTATGATACACACTTATGTCCAGTGGGGGGCAGGAATGCACTTAAGTGGGTTTTCCTGTCACCAATAAACAGGCTAATGCACCAAAATGCTGGATGCCAGCTGATGTAAAAATTAAAAGTATTAGTTATCAAACACAAAAGGAGTGTCCAAAGCAGATACTTTTAATCAGCGTTTTTTTTTTTTGGACAAACAATACACTTTATACAAACGCACATATGATAAACTATGCATAAGTTACATTTTATATTTATACACAAATCATACATTTTATACATATAAACACACACAATATACTTCATACATATAGACACATGATCTGTATCATCTGTACATAAACATTCTACACATATGCTCACATACCATACATATACACGTTACATTACATACACGTACAAGATACATTCCTGTCAGTATCTGGGATTGAACGCGGGTCTCTGGTGTGAAAGGTGAATCATTAACCTCTGAGCTACTGGGAATTGATGAATCCATGCAACGAGAAGGAGATTATACACAACATACAAATGCACACAGTACACACTATACATATGCACATGATACACTCCATATTTATGCACAAATTATACACTTTATAGTCAGTTGGTGATTCTGTGTGGAGTTTGCATGTTCTCCCTGCCTTCGCGTGGGTTTCCTCCGGGTGCTTCGGTTTCCCCCAAACTGGTTGCATCGGGAAAGCCCTCCACTCGGAGGCGAGCCAACGGCCGGCGAAGAGGAGAAGCGGAGCGGCACCACACTGCTCCGCAGCATTCGCTCGAAAAAAAAAAAAAACTAAACGCCAGAAACTCCAGAAACGTCCGCTGGGCTACGTTTCCAGAATGAGCTTGGGTTGGTATTGTGTGTGTGTATGGAGTGTATCAAGTGTGCATATGTAAAGAGTGTATACGTGTGGAGTTGATCATGTGTGCATACAGTATGTGTTTGTACTGTATATAATGTGTGTATTTGTAGGGAAAATATGTATATGTATAGAGTGTACATGTATCATGTGTCTATATGTTTGAAGTGTGTGTTTATAAATGTACAGATTGTATCACGTGTCTACATGTATGAAGTATATTGTGTGTATATATATATAAAATTTATCTTGTGTGCATAAGTATAGAGTATATAATGTGTGAAGTGTGTGTTTATAAATGTACAGACTGTATCACGTGTCTACATGTATGAAGTATATTGTGTGTATATATATATAAAATATATCTTGTGTGCATAAGTATAGAGTATATAATGTGTGCATATGTATAGTGTATCATGTACAGAGTGTATCACGTGCATTTGTATGTTGTGTATCATGTCCTTTTCTTTGCATGGATTCATCAACTCACAGTGGCTCAGAGGTTAATGATTCATCTCTCACACCAGAGACCCAGGTTCAATCCCAGACGCTGATATGAAAATATTGTGTATGTATATCATGTGTGTAATTGCATAATGTATCAAGAGGATGGAATAAATGTATAGAATGTATAATGTATGCATATGTGTAGAATATACATGTGTCTATATGTATAATATGCGTCACATGAATGGAATATATGTACAGACTGTATCATGTGTCTATATGTATGAAGTGTATATCTCTGATACAGACTGTATCATCTGTCTATATGTATGAAGTGTGTATATGTACAGACTATATCATGTGGCTATATGTTTGAAGTGTGTGTATATGTATAGACTTTATCATGTGTCTATATGTTTGAAGTGTGTATATGTATAGACTTTATCATGTGTCTATATGTTTGAAGTGTGTGTGTATATATGTACAGACTGAAGTGTATATGTGTAGAGTTGATCATGTGTACATACAGTATGTATTTGTATATAATGTGTGTATTTGTATGGTAAATATGTATGGAGTGTATCATGAGTGCATAAGCATAGAGTATATAAAGTGTGCATATCTATAGTGTAGTATAGATTGTATCATGTGCATATGTACAGAGTGTATGAAGTGCACTTATATGTTGTGTATCATGTCCTTTCAATGCATGAATTCATCAACTCTCAGAGGTTATAGAGTGTATCTTGTGTGCATAAGCATAGAGTATATAATGTGTGCATGTGTATCATGTATAGATTGTATCATGTGCATATGTACAGAGTGTATGAAGTGCACTTGTATGTTGTGTATCATGTCCTTTCAATGCATGGATTCATCAACTCCCAGTGGCTCAGAGGTTATAGAGTGTATCTTGTGTGCATAAGTATAGAGTATATAATGTGTGCATATGTATCATGTACAGAGTGTATGTAGTGCACTTGTATGTTGTGTTCAATGCAGTGGCAATCCCAGTGGCTCAAAGGTTAATGATTCACCTCTCACACCAGCGACCCGGGTTCAATCCTAGACACTGACATGAATGTATTGTGTATATATATATATATCAAGTGTATAATATATGTATGGAGTGTATCATATGCATGAAATACATGTACAGAGTGTGTATTTGTAAGAAGAATATTGTGTGTATATGTATAAAATGTATCACTTGTATGGAATATATGTACAGACGGTATCATGTGGCTATATGTATGAAGTGTGTATATGTACATACTGTTTCATGTATCTATATGTTTGACGTATATATTGTGTGTGTATATGTATCATGTGTGCATAAGTATAGAATGTATCTTGTGTGCATATGTATAAAGTATACCATTTGTCCATATGTATAGAATGTATCGTGAGTGTATATATATGTATGGAGTGTGTCAAGTGTGCATATCTATACTTGTGGAGTTGATCATGTGTGCATACAGTATGTATTTGTATATAACGTGTGTATTTGTATGAAAATATGTATAGAGTGTACATATTGTGTGCACATGTATTTCGTTGCATGGATTTTTCAACTCCCAGTAGCTCAGAGGTCAATGATTCACTTTTCACTCCAGCGACCCGGGTTCAATCCCAGACACTGACATGAATGTATCGTCTATGTATATCCTGTGTGTGTGTATGTATAGAATCTATCATGTGTATGGAATATTTGTATAGCATGTATTATGTGTGCATATGTATAGAGTGTATCACGTGTCTATATGTATAAAGTGTATCATATGTATGGAATATATGTACAGTATATATATTGTGTGTGTGTACATATGTATAGACTGTATAATGATACACTTTATACATATGCACACCTCACATTTTATACATATATTTCATACATACAGAGACATGGTACAGTGTTTACATATACACTCTTTACATACGACACAGTCATACATATACTTCATCCATATAGACACATGATACGCTCTATACATATATACATGATATATTCTATACATACACATGCAGAGGTGATACACATACACGATGGCTGGGATTGAACCGGGGTCTCTGGTGTGAAAGATGAATCATTAACCTCTGAGCTACTGGGAGTTGATGAATCTAGCAACGAAAGCACATGATACGCACCATACATATGCACACAGTATATACTATATACATATGCACTCGTGATACACCATATTTATGCACAAATGTACACTATACATATAATCCATACAAATACACCTTATACATTCTATACAAATACATATGAACACTTGATAAACCATACATACACACCAGATACACTATATATATGCACACATGATACATTCTATACATATGGACAAACAATACACTTTATACAAATGCACATATGATAAACTATGCATAAGATACATTCTATATTTATACACAAATGATACATTTTATACATATACACACACACAATATACTTCATACATATAGACAAATGATACAGTCTGTACATTTACATTCTACACATATGCTCGCATACCATGCACGTTACATTACATACATATATTCCATATATATACACATACAAGATACATTCATGTCAGTGTCTGGGATTGAACCCGGGTCTCTGGTGTGAAAGGTGAATCATAAACCTCTGAGCTACTGGGAGTTGACGAATCCATGCAACGAGAAGAACATGATACACAACATACAAATGCACACAGTACACACTATACATATGCACATGATACACTCCATATTTATGCACAAAAAAATATGTTCTCCCTGCCTTCGCATGGGTTTCCTCCGGGTGCTTCGGTTTCCCCCACAGTCCAAAGACATGCGGTACATGTGAATTAGGTAGGCTAAATTGTCCATAGTGTATGAGTGTGAATGAGTGTATGTGGATGTTTCCCAGAGATGGGTTGCAGGTGGAAGGGCATCCACTGTGTAAAAACATGTGCTGGATAAGTTGGCGGTTCATTCCGCTGTGGTGACCCCAGAATAATAAAGGGACTAAGCCAAAAAGAAAATTAATGAATGATTAATATAAGACCCACAAGACAGAATATGACAATGTCATGACTAGGCGGCCAGAAGAGGAGGAAGGGAAAGGCACAGATGCTGCTAGGGGCAAGACAGACATCGCTTTCAGAGTCCTTAGGTGCAGCAGGAACTATCCAGGTACACAGGGAGAAAATGTGGTTGTATTTTTAGGGCTTGGGTTTTTGTGACAATGAATGTGTAAGTTGGATCTTTTTTTTGTTTAATTCTTTATCAATAAACAAGATTTACCTTATAATATGTCTTGTATTCAGTATGAAGTGACACTTTTAAGTACACTACTTGTTACTTTTATTTCCCAAACAGTAATTTTTGGGCAAAGTATTGATATCGGATCACTTCCGCCGATACTCGCCTTCATTTTACTTGGCACCGGATCGGATAGGAAACCAGTGGTCTCGCACATCACCAGTACCCGGATGCGGACAAAAAGTGTAAAAGCACTTTAAAACAGGTATGTCCAAACACGGTCCTGGAGGGCCGGTGTCCTGCAAAGTTTAGTTCCAACCCCAATCAGACACAGCTGGCCTAGCTAATCAAGCTCTTACCAGGCTTTCTAAAAACATCCTTGCAGGTGTGTTGAGACAAGTTGGAGCTAAAATCTGCAGGACACCGACCCTCCAGGACTGAGTTTGAACATCCCTGCTTTAAGATAAATCTTGTACAAATCATAGTCACAATGATTATTTCTATTTTCTTGAATTACGCTTTTATTGTTTTGATTCTTAAAAACACCTTTTCCATCATTGAACCATACATACATGTATATATATATATAAATATTCAAGCATTTCAACTCTATATACATAATAAGGATTGCAAACAATACAGTAAATTTCCACTTTACCCATACTGTACATTGTATGTATATACATACTATATATGCTAAAAAGCTACATTTGAGCATTGTAACATCTTTGCTGTGAAAAGATAAAGGGATAATCTGGACTAGAATATCCAAATCATTTTAAGCTAAAGTGCATCAGAGAAATCAATTCTAAAACAGTACAAAAATCGAAATAAAAATCAGGAAATAAATATAAATATTGAGGACGTGAAGGCAGACTTTGAGTTTGATATGGTCTCTACACTGCACATCTGACCTTTACATTCAAAAAGTAAAGCTGTCTGAGATGATGTAACATTCAGCAAAATAGCATCTGTAGTGGGTCGCACAAACACTATATAGATGCGCAACTGACAAGAAAATAACGCATCAGTTATGTTAAAGAGGAGAAGATGAACTCCTGCTAAAACACACTTTTGTCATGCATTATCTTCTGCTTTCAGAACAAGACCTAGTTAAACAATCTCAGCTTTTTGCACGTTTGTTATGGAGCTACCAGGAGAGCCAGACTGGCTGATTATCTGATTGTTTTAAAGTAAATTTTAGTTAAATTACATGTGAACAAGGCACCAAACACTGAGGAAGAATGACTTACTGGTGACCCACATTACCACTGTTTGGTTCCAGAGATGTCTTTGTCTATTTACACTTTGCTTTCCTGCGTTTTGTTACTGACGATAAACAAAACTGACGGGTCTTTTCTTCCAGGAGACTGGTCTTCAGTGGGGTTTGATCCATTAGCTGCCTCACCAACAGGCTCCATCCGCATCTGCTGCTGCTGTTTTGAGACCGATGGACTTTTTGATTTGCTCTTCTTAGTCTTTGAACCGGTTGACTGAGGCTCGGTCGAAGTCGTTGAGGGAGAGCGTGGTGTGGACGACCTGCTGGTTTTGCTTAGCTGGAGGTCTGTGGGCCGCTGAGGTCTGTTGGGCTGAAGTGCCACAGAACCACCGTTTATGGTGATCTCCCTGAGCTGATCGTCATCTGTCTGATCTTTAGCAAAGTTGACAAACACCTGCAGGAAGAAAACACTCTTAGTTCATCAGAGTCACAAGTCCTGTTTTAAAACCTAGTCAGATGCCTCCTGACACCAAGGGCCGATCATACACCCGGCTCAATATGGCGCAAGGTGTTCATGGCATGATTTGCTGCTATTTTCAGACCAACGCAACTATAATTCTAATGTTTTGCACCCCATTGTTTAAATTTCAAATCCATTTGTGGACTCATAGGTGTGCTGGTCTAAAAAGGAGGTGTGTTAAGGCGCATTGTTGGCGCATTGCTATTTTAGGAACTGAAAACTGCTCTAAAATCCAGCACAGAGCGCATTAGTTATGATCCTATATGGTCCAAATGCTTACACATTGCTAAATAAACACAGAATGTACAGCAACACACAAATATCTTTAAATATGAATCATGCCATCAATTCGGTTCAATTCGCATATATGGGTGCATCACAGTGCATTGACGATGCGTTCTATACACAGTTTTATATTTTCACAAAACAGCAATTCTTGTATTAAAATGTATAAATATATTTATATACTACTTGTAAAATAATTTTGTCCTTTAATAGTCAGATATATAAACTGTACCTTTAAACAACACGAGCATTTATAGCAAATAAACAAATAAAAATATCCCTCTCGCTTTCTGAGCCTTGTCTAGCAAGTTCCTTCTTGAACACCCCTTTTTCTTTCTTCTACACCACTTTGATTGGTCAGGCGCTCAACAGAAAGGGCTGCGATTGGCCCTTACGCGCTGGCCCTCTTCACAGATGAGTGACACTGATACACAGCAGCGGCGATCACAGCTGATAAATGATAGACACGGTGGAGAAAACTCTGCAGACACACGCTCGTGTCTGTATCCAGAAGTATCGCTGTAACAGCCGAGAGGAGAGGAAAAGTCATGCCAGCAGGTCAAATGAGCCAAAGTGAGAAAGAGAGAGAGAGAAATGGAGTTTACTTTCATTCTCTCAGTCGCAAAGAAATAGGGGCTTCTGCTGTTAGTGTCAGTGAAAGACTGTCCAGCAAACACACACACAGTGAAATTGTGAACAGTTTCTGGGTTTTTGAGTAGTTGGAGCATTGTACATACTCGCGCTCACCTCCCTCACCATAGTAAGCTACGGCGACATAGCGCATATGAGATAAATGACGTCAGTACATAATAACTGGTTATGATTATTACTCAACCGATACCAAATTGTCTGCGTCTGCATCGCGGTGCACCAAAGAAACAATTAATTTTGACACCCCTAGTATGTTCTAAATAAACATAAAAACCACAGCCTCCATGGCTTCTTCATAAAGATGAAGTCAGTTTATTCATGACAATTTGCATTTGTTATTATTAGCAGTATTATTTATTATATGCACATTCATATTTGTTTTAATAAAAACAAGTTTAGACTTGTCCACCTGTCGGGTTTTGGGGACGTATGCATGACCATTTGGGGCATAGGAATAAGAAGTGTATTTCTATATAACTAAATTTTTTGGAGGCTCGTTCTTTATCCTCAAACAAATGGTCTGTTTAACTGTTTTCATGCTAGTGAAGCATTCAATTTTTCACTTACAAAGTCCGCCATGTAAATAGCAAATTTAGTAAAAAATATCAAACGAACCCCCTACCCTAGTAAACATCACTTTACTATTACAAAATCATAGAAATAGGCTGCGTCCGAAACCGCATACTTCCATACTATATAGTACGCTAAAATCAGCATGTGAGCCGAGTAGTATGTCCGAATTCATAGAATTCGTAAATCAGTATGCGAGAAGTACCGGGATGACTTACTACTTCCGGCGATATTCAAGAGTGTGCATCCCATGCATGCTGCACTATCCCATGATGCCCCGCGAGAGAATTCATGAATGGGAGTAAAGCGACCCAATTGACGCAGGTAGGTCACGTGACCATGACAAAATGGCGGATGTAGTACGTCCAAATTCCATTCATACGTTTCACGTTCATACTGTATAGAACGTACTTTTCTAACGGCCGAGAAGTACGTTTAAATTCAAATGCAGTACCTACTGAGTAGTAGGCAGTTTTGGACGCAGGCCTAGATTATATAAAACAGAAATTATAATAAATACTTTCCATTAAGACTGAAAAGAACCAATCCAAAGTAACTGATACGTTTAAAATGTCGTATCTCTAATTGTAACAAAGTCAAATGACCCTTTGCTAAGACCTGAAATGCCTAACAACAGTAACTAAAAAGAGCTGGGCGTAGCAAAATTAGTGCAATAGATCTGTTGTAAGGGCCTGCTTGTCTAACAAAGTTATGCCTGTGTGCAACATTTAAATTATTGTCTTTAATGAGGTTCCATGACAATCACTATGTCTTAGAGGGGTCACACACTTCGCGCTGTGCCTCATCTTTTAAAACTAAACATTGTTTTCTAACACACACACACACCAATAGTGGCATTCAGCATGTGCTCACAGCGCCCAGCTACGACTCGGGACACTGTTCAAATTCCTGCTGTGCAACAGAGCGCCATCTGAAATCTTGTATTAAATAATATTATATTTACGTATGAAATGTTCACGTCTGGTGTCCAACACCTCATATCATAGTCGTGGTATGGTGCTGCACTTTTCATCTTGTTTGCAACAGGCTTTAGATGCCTTAACAGTTAGCTAAAAAGAAAACTTCCAAAGCAGCATAGTAGGTTTTCCTCAGCTCTGTACTCTCTCACCTGATCCAGTGTTGTCTGTGACACAGAGTAGTCAGCTATCCCCAGCTCCTCATAATTATTTGACAGAACCTCAAAAACACGAGCGAGTGAGCAGGTTTGTGATGGAAGCTGGTACTGGAGAACATTTTGATGTCTCTCCTTCAGCTGGATGCCAGGGAAAGCGTTTTGGATGTAGGCGTCCACTGGGCATGGTTCTGCAGATGGGGTGGACAGACGAAGGATTATTGTGTAACCGTCTCCAAACCTAGCAGAAAAGACAAAAAGGTGAAGATGAAAACCAGAAATGCCCATACTAGTACTAACTTTATTTTCAGTAAAAACACATTATTTTTCCTTCAACCTTTCCTTCCACTGTAACAAATAAACTTATTTTTATCCTCTTTTTTTGTAAAATGATCTCATCTATCAATCATGACTTAGGGCTTGCTCGCACTATGCTATCCGAACCATGCCCAAGCCCGTTTCCCGGATCGTTTAAAGAAGTGTGAGTGCTCTGAATCGGAATCTGAGCGCGGTTCACTTGGGCCAAAACTCAAAGCGCGACGTGACTTTTAAGATACTGTTTCATATGGATTATTTAATCATTCTTACTGTTCAGTGAACGCAAACTGTCGTAGTTTATTAAACACACAAACCCCTCACTGCACGACAGCTGCGCACCTTCAGCAAACCTCCTCATTCCTGCAGCACGAGGGCTTTATTATTGTTTATGAGCGTCAAAAGTGGCGGATCTGTTCGGCGTAATATTTGACTGAGTCACTGCATATGAAACGACTTTAAACGATATAACTAAAGAAATCTTCACTGTGCTGAGCGAGAGCACTTATTGAACAGTCCATCATCGATGATGTAAGCGTGCCCAGGCCCAAATGTAATGTGAGTGCGGGCCGTCGGGGGAAATGGGAGAGGGGGCAAGCATGCTTTGGCCTAGTTCAAGGCAACTGTACATAGTGTGAGTACGGCCTTAATCTTCACTGTAAAACCCAATCAGTTAAGGTAACTCAAACCATTTGAGGAAACCAATTGCAACAAACCATTTAAGTTCCAAAACTAATCCTAATGAGTACTGTGAACTTAATTTATTTGAGTACGTGAAAGAATTTGAGCACACCAAAACTCAAACACCAAAGAAAACTCAAACCAATTGAGTACTGTGAAACCCAATAAGTTAAGGCAACTCAAACCATTTGAGGAAACTGATTGCTTCATACCATTTAAGGTCAGATGACAAAATGAAGCATACTACTTTTTGCATATTGCTAATTGAGTTCAGATCTTGTTTATGAGACTGTATGAAGTATACAGTACATACTGAGCTGTATTAATGGATTAAAGAGCCCCATTTATGAATCAATTCCCAGGTGTGAATGCACCCTTAATCACTGAACATATGAAATGCGAGGTGTTGAGGTAATTAGATAAACATAAATTCGTATAATAAAATAATGATGGTTTTTTTGACCTTGCATGCGTATCAACCTTTTATAATAGATAACATGGGCACTTCAAGCTATTGTTTTATTCAGAATTGTTACCTGTTCTTCAGGTGCTGAACTGAGCCCAGGCACTGGAACCTGCCATTCACCATGATAGCCATTCGGGTACACAGAGCCTCACACTCTTCCATACTGCAAAGACAGTAGAATCAGCAGGATGAGGAGGGATTCAGGAATCATGTACAAAGGCATCTTCATACATAGGTTTGTACTATAGGTTCTGCATGTTAGAAAACTGTGGTTGAACAAGGAAACCCAAGCTGGTAGGGGTGGGATTTAGAGGGTGCGTCTCAATCAGCTTCATAGCTCCTGAGGCTGTAGATAAATAGGTACTTTACACAAATTCAGCCACTGGTGAGGACAATGATGAGCTTGGTTCAATACACACTGAGACATGACTGTGGCATGGGAACATCCTCATCATACAACATCAAAACTGTCATTTAAAAACAACAGCAGAACTATACTGTATTCATACAATTGTAATTGTAAACGTCATGTTATGTTACGTAAATCGTAAAATAAGGTTTATTAGTTAATGCATTTACTAACATGAACTAATCATGAACAACACATGTACATCATTTATTAATCATAATTAAACATTTACTAATACATTATTAACATCCAAGTCCATGCTTGTTAACATTAGTTAATGCACCGTGAGTTAACATGAACTAACAATGAACTACTGTATTTTCATTAACTAACGTTAACTAACATGAACAAATGCAGTAGTAGATGTATTGTTCATTGTTTGTTCATGTTAGTAAATGCATTAATTAACATTAACTAATAGGGATGTAACTGTATCAGAATTTCACGGTACGGTAATACCTTGGGATGAATGTCACGGTACGGTATTTATTGAGTAATTTACAGGAAAAACAAAACTAATGAAAATACTCCAAAAAAGTGCCAAAAGTGCTTAGCACTAAACATATCAATGACATACAAATTAGCCATCTATCTGTAAGTTTTGAAACAGGAACTTCAATTTTTCAATTTTAATAACAAAAAACTATAAAGCCATGTAAATAAAATAAAGTTTCAGTTTAGTATTGCTGAAAACTCATCACATTCAACATTTAATCACTCACTCACTTAGATAGAGATGGTTTTTTTTAAGGAAAATTATCATATAACTATAATCTGGTAAAAGCTGGGATCTCTGGGCATTTACAATGTCCCCTGCAACAGAAAAAAAAAAAACTCTCATTTGGGACTGAGGTTTCTGGGACAGAGAGATATGACTTGGCCCAGGTTGACAGCAGTGGGTATTGTTGTGCATTGTCTTTCCACCACTTGAGAGGACAAGCCATGAGTGAGATAGAGGTCTCTTTGCGGTAAAAGTCAATGTCTGCATAAATCTAACAAGTGTTCTGCAGTCCCCATGACTGTTTTTAGTCATATTCCCCGACTCATATTTCACCACAGTCTGGCAGTGCCTGCATATTGTTTTTTTCTTTGTCTGTCACCTTTTCTTCTTTTTTGTATCTTTTTAGAGAGAAACCGAAATGCTTCCACACATCCGATTTAAAACCCGCTTTAGGTTCGATCATTTCCAGCTCTTTTTCTTCCCCGCTACTAGCAGCACACTCCATTTCCGCATTACTGAATCTGTAGTGACAACAGACCGCAAAGATGATGGGAATTGTAGTTCCCGCTACCTCCCGTTCGCTTCATTCTCCTAAGCAAACTTTTCTCAGAAAAATAATTTTATTGAGTCATGCGCCTACGGTAATATTGAAAAAAATTACTATTGCGGTATGACGGTATTTATTATATTGTTACATCCCTATTAACTAATGAACCTTATTGTAAAGTGTGACCCGATATTCATTTTACAACGTTTTTAAAAGCACATTATAGCTAAATAATTAGTTTGTTATATATACCAGCCACATTTCAACATTTAAACAATAATAAAAGTTTACTAGATTGTCCCTAACCTGTTTACCAGTTTAATTTGTTGATGTCAAAATGAAATAAATAATGGAATCTTTTTAGAAAAACGTCTCGTTTACGTGATTCATGTTTCACACTTCTGAACTTCTGTTAAGGGCACATAGTGAGCATTGATGCACCCTGATTTTTATGGTGCATTGTAGGACTTTTCAGACACAAACGTTTCAGTGCACTGGAAGAATTATGCAATTGAGGGAGCTTTCACACCTACACTTTTGTTTCGGAACCTGTCTCGTTTGCCCAGTTAGCGCGGTTCGTTTGGCATATGTGAACAGGGCAATCGCGCTCTGTTCTGTGCCAAAGTAATCACTCCGAGACCGCCTAAGTGAGGTGTTCTCGGCTCGATTGAAACGAACCCTGGAGCGGTTCTATTGCAGTGAGAAAGCGATCCGATCCAAGCGCGGTTATATCACAGTGTTTTATGAATATGTAATAGGCATACGGCTATATGAAGAGAGAATTATGAGTAGGGCGGGAAGTTTCGAGAGTCTCCAGATGCCTGCAAAACGAGTGATGATCTCCCGGTAATCTAGCGTTTCCCTCCTGGTCCTCTAATAGGCATCGTCGCGCACCCTTCTCACCCCTCCCCACCGCGTCTCTCCTCAGACACGTCGCACGCGCGCACCCTGTCAATCACCACCAAACCACCACCTCTCCTGACAGCTGAGCGGGGCGCTGCAAAATAAACCCTGACACTCTGACCAATGTGAGGAGAGTTTACTCGCACGTGGCTTGTTTTAGCTCTTTTGGTCCGATTAGAAACTTTACAGTGTGAAAGCGAACCGCTCCAAGAGCAAAGAGCAACAACGTAACAATTGCAATCTCTGTTTCAGAACAACTGAATCGATTCACAGGTGTGAAAGCACCCTGAGACAGCCCTTGATGCCCTGATTAGAGCCCTGACTAATAAACAATGGTGTTGAATGAGACACAATCAGACTAAATGATTGGACAAGTCTTGGATATGGACACAAGAAATATCTAAATTCATTTTCCCTGAATGATCCACTTGACGTTTACGTGAACTTTGATGTGGCTTGAAAGGTTATTAAAAATTAAATATAGATAAATCAATGACAATGAGATCTAAACATGCATTTTGGAAAATAGGGTGACATGGCATTCAATTTATGTCATCAGGGTGCCATCAATTTGGGCTTCCTATATGAAACTGTAATAGTGTTCTCTACCTGTGAGAGGTGAGTACGACAGACCGTCCTTCTTTGACTACACTGAGGATGCAGTTCCAGAGGAAACGCTTTGCCTTCGGGTCCATTCCAGTAGTTGGCTCATCCTGACAGTGGCAAATGAGGGACATCAGCATTCATAGACACATCTTTCTTTAGCTACGTAAGTCAGTATAATTTTGTAAAACCAATGGCACATGATGGTGGAATGGACCAAACGTACCAAGAAGATGACAGGTGCAGCTCCAATAAGAGCAATGGCAGTGGAGAGTTTGCGCTTGTTTCCTCCGCTGTAGCCACCAGCCTCTCGATCAGCATACTGACTCAGACCGAGCTTCTGAACTCCCCATTGTGCCACCTACAGGACGGGCAAATTGGATAAAACAGTTTGTTTAATCCATACAATGCAAGTCAATGTTACCATCCTTAAAAAATAAATAGATAAATAAAAAATGAATGCCTCTAGCTTCATGAAGAAAAAGGTTCAGTCTGTATTACAAACAGAAAATTACTTACTACAACATACAGTATCTACATTAATCCACAGCCTCTGGAAAATGGTCCAGAGTACGTTCAGACAATCTAGAGCAGTGTTTCCCAACCACGTTACTGGAAGACCACCAGCTCTACATATTTTCCATGTGTCCTTAACCAAACGCACCTGATTCAGACCTTTTCAGAGACTGAAAGACCTGTAATGGGTGTGCCATCAAAGAAGACATCCAAAACATGCAGTGTTGGTGGTCCTCCAGGAAGGTGGTTGAGAAACACTAATCTAGAGCATGACATTTGAGATCTGTCACATAATGTCCAAATGCAGAGCCAACTCGCTGATGCTATTTCTTAACAACAGAGAGAGGATGTGTTTTAGAGCCGGGGTGCTGGGGGGCACATGTGAGCCTCTAAAATTATATCCGAACACACAACAGAAAAACAAATGGAGCCATCTTTGACCACTTTGCTATTAATTTACAAAAAGAGGCAGGAAGAGGGCGAGGTCCATAGTTAAGAAGTAAGCTGCTTATGCATAAACTGGCGTGAAATTCAAATTGTTAAACAGAGCAAGGAAATTTTCACAGTATGTCTGATAATATTTTTTCTTCTGGAGAAAGCCTTATTTGTTTTATTTTGGCTAAAATAAAATGAGTTTTTAATTAAAAAAATATATATTTAAGGTCAAAATTATTAGCACCTTTAAGCTATATTTTTTTCGATAGTCTACAGAACAAACCATCATTATACAATAGCTTGCCTAGTTAACCTAATTAACCTAGTTAAGCCTTTAAATGTCACTTTAGGCTGTATAGAAGTGTCTTGAAAAATATCTAGTTGAATATTATTTACTGTCATCATGGCAAAGATAAAATAAATCAGTTATTAGAGATGAGTTATTAAAACTATTATGTTTAGAAATGTTGAAAAAATCTGCTCTCCATTAAACAGAAATTTGGGAAAAAATAAACAAGGGGGGCTAATAATATATACATATAGGGCCACTATGTAGAATTCAGAAAGCTGAAGTGTGGTCAGCAACTTATAGGTAATGTTTTGCACACATAACATTATAAAGACAGTAAGACTATACATTAAAAGTATCAGAGGTGTTGGAATAGGCCCACAAGAATCCATTTTGTACAATTTGGATTAAAGATATAGTTTTATTCATTTAATGCTATGCAATTTAAAGCTCATAGGGTGTACCTATTCCTGAGTTTGACTGAGACTTCGCTTTATTACCTGAACCTTTTCAGTGTTATGTATTCTAGTTGTTGAAAGACCAAATATCTTTCTAATTTTGCACTTAGAAAGGTCGTTTTTCATTTATTTGACATTTCTCTTATGAATTTAATACAAAGGGATCATCACTGATACAGCTTGTTTGCAGACTGAAATTCTCCTTTTACCCAAACATTACAACCCCACCTATTATTACCAAAACAATTTCATTTGTATAATCTGTAACCTTCCCACTTTTATTTTGCTTCTGTCTCAACCGTTCTAGTGCACAGATGCCATCGAAATAAAAAAAGTTTTTTATTTCTAAAATATATTTTAGTTTGTCTGTGAAAACACTGGAAATCTTTTCTATCAACTTTTTTCAATTAAATAAAGTTAAAAAGAGTTCACAAAATCAGATTTTTGATTTCAATGGATTTTGCAAAATGTCCAAACCTTTTCTCAATTATGGTTGTGTTTGACAGTATACATTATACAAGATCTGGCTATGTGAAACTATAGTTACATTTTCCCTATATCTTTGAATAACACATTGACATTGCAGAATAGCTATATATTGACAAGCTGTTCACACATTGCTGATTAAAAAGTGACTAATATACAACAGTTTTTACAAACAGCCCCTTAAGTCTTAGACAGACCCTGGCACAGGTCCTTATATTAGTAGCAATACTAACTCAGATATTTATTATGATGTGCTTGGAGCATCCTGTACCTTTTCAACATAAGACTCGGGCACTCCTCTGAGGCGAGCATAAAACTCCAAGTGCTCTCGTCCCGTCAGCAGGTCAATGATGGCATCAAACTGAGGACAGTAGCCCATCAGCTGATGAACCTTCTCCATTTCTGTAAGAACGCTGAGTAAAACATATGGTAGGTAATTTTAGGGTGGTGCAGCGATTTGCCAGTGTATAGTAATATTAAGGAAATTAGACTTTGGGATTAATAAGCACTTAATTATTGTAAAAACATCAGCATAATGTTCACCACATGTTAATGGTCTAACCTTTGGTTGCTAAGAAACGCTTCTCCATATGTGATCCGGGTGTCTCCTGTTAGCATACGGAAGGTCGAGGTTTTCCCAGCTCCGTTAACACCAAGAAGCCCAAAACACTGAAACGGCATTAAAAGAAACACTTGCTGTAGTTGAAACTATCAGAACAGAAAAATAAAGTGATGTTTGTTCTCAAGAGAGATCTGTGATGTCCAACTCAACTCACTTCTCCTCGAGGAATGCCCAAGCAAAGCCGATTCACTGCTGGCTTTCTACCTGCTTTGTATACCTGTATAGACATGAACAGGGCAGCATTTCATCTGACAGGGTCTTTCACAGGTTCGTTTTTGGCATTGATGCTCTCATGAAAAATCTTTATTCCACCAAAACCCTAAAAGTGTTTTATAGTGAATCATTACATTTAATTAAATGAGTTTATTTGTTTAGTTTTTTTTCCACAATAATAAGTAATTAGGCGACGCAGTGGGTAGCACGTTCGCCTCACAGCAAGAAGGTCGCTGGTTCGATCCTCGGGCGTTTCTGTGTGGAGTTTGCATGTTCTCCCTGCGTTCGCGTGGGTTTCCTCCGGGTGCTCCAGTTTCCCCCACAGTCCAAAGACATGCGGTACAGGTGAATTGGGTAGGCTAAATTGTCCATAGTGTATGAGTGTGTGAGTGTGTGTGTGTGTGTGTATGTGTGTATGTTTCCCAGAGATGGGTTGTAGCTGGAAGGGCATCCGCTGCGTAAAAACTTGCTGGATAAGTTGGCGGTTCATTCCGGCGTGGCGACCCCAGATTAATAAACGGACTAAGCCGACAAGAAAATTAATGAATGAATGAAAGTAATTATCATTAAGATTCATCAAGAAGGTCGTGGGTTCGAGCCTCGGCTGGGTCAGTTGTCATTTCTGTGTGGAGTTTGCATGTTCTCTCCGTGTTCGTGTGGGTTTCCTCTGGGTGCTCTGGTTCCCCCCACAGTCCAAAGACTTGGCTATAGGTGAATTGTGTAAGTGTATGGGTGTTTCCCAGTGATGGGTTGCAGCAGGAAGGGCATCCGCAGCTTAAAACATATTCTAGATGAGTTCATTCCGCTGTGTAATAAAATGACTAAACCGAAAAGAAAATGAATGATAAAGATTCTTACACATTCACTTATGTTCCTTTAGCTTAGTATCTTCTTTAATCAAGGGTTTCCACAGCGGAATGAACTGCCAATAATAAAGAACTTAAATATTCATTCATTTTCCTTTGGCTTAGTCCCATATTTATCAGAGGTTGTCACAGCAGAATGAACCGCCAACTATTCCAGCATATGTTTGCTGCAACCCAGTACTAGGAAACACCCATACACTCTCACATTCACACTCATACACTACTGGCAATTTTGTTTACCAAATTTACTAAGAGCGCATGTCTTTGGACTCGAACCAGCAACTTTCTTGCTGTGAGACGCCAGTGCCAACCACTGAGCCACCATGCCGCCCCTAATAAAAAATTCATTTATTCATTCATTTTCTTTTAGGCTTTCTCCCTTTATTAATCTGGGGTCGCCACAGATTGAACCACCAACTTATCCAGCACATGTTTTACGTCACAGATGCCTTTCCAGCTGCAACCCATTACTGGGAAACATCCATACACACTCATTCACACACATACACTACAGCCAATTTAGCTTACCCAAATCACCTATAGCACATGTGTTTGGACTTGTGGGAGAAACCGGAGCACCTGTAGGAAACCCACGCCAACACGGGGAGAACATGCAAACTCCACACAGAAATGCCAACTGGCCCAGTCGGGACTTAAACAAGCAACTTTCTTGCTGTGAGGCGATAGTGCTTACCCCTGAGCCACCCTTACGCCCCTTACTAAATTATATTAAAAACAGAATGGTTCTTTGGAGAACTAAAAAAGTTTGTTCTGGCATGACTGTGAAACCTCTCGTCCTGTCACCTCTTTTAAAGTGTGTGCAGTATTTGGTGTCTCTGTACCTTGCTAAGGTCTGAGAGGATGAGAATGTCTCCAAGCGCTCTACCGTTCTTCACACGCTCCCTCTCTCTCGCCACATCTTCGTCCTCCATGCCCAGCGGGGGCAGAACAAAGCCTGACCACCGACTGAAGAGAAAGCACTCATTTATCATGGACAAACACACAGCTGTGTTGATCTATTCCATATGACATTCAAGCATACAAACCCACCTAAAATTAACAAAGAACTTATACTGCAGGAGAACAGTAAAGAGGAAGAACACAATCCCTTCCATCGCCATGGCAAACAGGTTCTTCCCAACAAAATCCCAGGATAAAGGATCCAGATTCTGTTTAGTTCCTGGTGACAAATTCATAGTCAAATCTCGCAGTTGTTTATGATTTTTGCAGAAATATTAGTACTAATATTAGTATAAAATACCAAGCCGCTGAAATGCGTCTGCCATGGCCTGGTTTTTAGCCATGTCTATGAGACCTCGACCCAGACAGAAGTGAGGAAATATCAGAAAGACCTTCTTCAGGATCCTGTTGACCTCGTTCAAATGCTGAGCACCACATGGATATAAAGAAATAAGCATTTATGTTTTTCCCTCTATTTATTATTACTTCTACTACTAATACTAATACAGTACGGTAATCGTACGTTCACACCAAAAGCGGCAAGAGCGTCAAAGTAGTTTTCGCCGGTGTGGGCATCAAGGAGAGTTAAAATCAAGTCAACTTTATGGTAATGAGCAATAACGCAGGTCAGCGGCAAGCAATCAGATTAAAGAAGTCCACCGCTTGATGGGAGTTCAGAGAACACAGACCTGTAAACTTTGGTTCTGATCACAGTTGTTCCCAATGGTTTGATTATTGCGGTCGCCGGATTTCCAATTATTTACAATGTTTTTTTTACAGGAACATGCATTAAATAAGTTACTGGCGAGTTACTGATGTGCATTAATGTTATATATATTTATCTTTAAAAAGCGGGAATCTCAAGCGACGTGACAGTACAAAACAGTTCTGCTGCTTCAGGATATTTCAGACATATGGACACATATTGGATAAATAGAGCAAAGCCACACCACACGCAACTTGATCTTCCATTGTTATATGAATTTGTTAAGAAGTGCGCAACATTTTCACGCTAGAAAGCATGTTTTATGCAGGAATGTAACTGATATGCTGCATAGGCTCCTTTAAATACTAGATCAATGTAGCGAGTTTTGACGCTCTCGCCGCCGGAGCTGAAGGCAGACGGCCAGAGCGACCTTGAACGATCTCACCGCTTTCGGTGTGAACGTACGGAGGTCTTAGGCCACTAGTTTTTTTTCACCAAAAAAGGGTTTAAAATTGGTTATTTGTATATTTTTCTGTAGCATGTCAGTTTGAATGACCAATTTAAATGTCCAATAATTATTTTTGCCATTTATTGTAATTATACAGTGAGATTATTGTCTGACAACAGCCAGTGCTCCACACAGAGATCTGGGGCCTCATGTATCAACGCTGCGTACACACAAAAACTTTGCGGACGCCAGGTTTCACGCTCATGTTTGGATTTACTAACGATGAAATGAACGTGAGAATGTGCGTTGGTCCATGCCAACTTCATGTCTGGCGTACGCGCATTTCTTGTGTGTGTTTGTTTTATTTCCATTGGCGACTCCTAAAGGAGGTTGTGTTAAATAGCACACTACAAAGTATCTTTGAGCCGTGCAATGGCAGCTGTATGGGACGGGATCATCCGCATGTCTAGCAGGTATATAAAGTTTCCTTACCATATGGTTGAACAGCCAAACATTAAAGTGCAACTTGCAGCGATCGCCGGTTTTCCTAATGTAATCAGAGCGATCTACTGCACACACTCGTACCTAAAACTTTTAACAGTACTGTAGCTTTGCAGGTAGAATTTTTGAAGCATCTTAAAGATGTTGCCAAAATTCTTCTGTCTTCAGTTTGTCTCAGTTTGTTCTGTTTATTCATGTCACTCCATACAGACTGGATGATGATCTGCATGGAACACTGGTTGCGCTAGTATTTACAGTCAAATGATTGAATTTCCAGATTTTCCATTGCTGGATTCGGATTTCTGCCTTCTAATCGGTCCCTGCCTTCTAATGGATCAACATTTACGCTTTTTCTCTGAACTTTATTAATATGATTATTTGAATAATGAATAAAGTTAACACATTGCTTAATATAAGAATGTTCAGTGCGTTTGCCTGTCTCTTTGTAACTCTATTTTCAGGAGGCACCAAGTTAGGTCAGAGGTCATGGAGACCTCAAGAGGAACTGAAGGGCTTGATGATTGAAAACAACTGTACAACTGTTTCCCTATTTGTATTGCTATGTGTTAATACCGTCTAAAGGGTTTTGATATTATTATGTGTTTATTTTGTTTAAAGTGATTTTACTTTTTATTCAAGATAGACTTTGTAAGGATATAACTGCCTGAATGTAGATTATACCGGTTTTTAACCAGTTTTGATAAAGACGGCTGAAAGTACACTCAGCCTTGGGTAAGCAACAGATTGTACTTTAAGTGTGTGTGTGTGTTCTATTTGATTGTGGATCCCTTTCACAGGTCTGGGGTCAGCTCTAAACACTCTAGTGGATGGTTGACGTTTATATGCTTGAGATATTGTTCAGAATTGTACGCACACACCCACATTGAAATTTTCCTAGTCTATCTGTGTTTTAACCAATCAGGTTAGAACACCTATATGTATGACGACATTATGTGAGAGTATAATTGTTATTGATTTGTGATTGTAAGTCAGAGCGATTTAGGAACTCGTTGCGATAGTTGAAGGTGGCTTCTGCGGATGAAACTGCCATCTATCCTTTTACTATCTTCAGTAAACTTTATTTATTTGAATCTCTGACTCCGGCTCTTCTTCATCTGACAGACTGGTCATTCTTTGGGTTCAAAGTTAAATAATCCCTACACCATCAAAGAAATAAACAAAAATTGTCATAATATTTTAAAATATAAAGATTTATGGCCTTTTTTTCAAAACAAGTGGAAAATTTTATCAAGCTCAATAGTAAGTATAAAATGGAGAGGTTTAAATGGTTTTCCAAAATTATTTATATAACATATAAGCATATAATGAATATGATTTAAATTGGTTAGCCAGATTAAGCAGTCGGGTCTATCCTCTTTACCTCATCAACAAAGAGCTCCAGGACAAATGTGGCCACGCTGCCATTGATGCCAATGAAGAGGTTGATGGAGGTGAGCACCACATAGGCAGTACTGGGCACGGAGAAGATGAAGGATGCTGGGTACATAAGCGGAGTGATAGACCAACTGCAGCAAAGACAGACAACACACTGATTTATGCTTCAGACAAGCACTCCACGGAAAAAAATCCTCTTTTTTTTTTTTGCATATGCACTGTAAGAGTCAGGTAAATGCATCAGTATATAATAGTTATAATCTTTTCTTACCCATACAGCAACAGTAGAAGCACCAGTGCAGGCAGATTCTTCTCAGATACATATGATTCTTGCTGGAAGCTGATAAAGATGAAGACCACCATAGTGGCCGGTACTGTATAGTTTACCTGAAATGCAATCACGACAGAAACATAAACCAATAAGCATTCAACTTTTAAGACATTTCACATTCAAATCAATCTTTCAGAACTGACCATGTCCCATACGTAGTTGGTGGTCCAGTACAGGATGGGTTTCACTCCACTGACAAACTGCAGGTGTTTTGATTTACTGACCCGTTCCTCAATAAGGAACAGGACAAAACTAGCAGGAACAAAGGACATGGCAAAAATAACACATATGGACACCAGAACATCCACAGAGGTGGTCATCCTGCAAAGATCACAGAGAAAAGCGTTGAAAAACATTTAGATTTTGTGGCTGTATTCACACCATTATGCTGTTTGAATGGGTTCTTTAGTCAAGTGGATGTTAAATTAATGCAGAGAGAGCATGCAACTATTTTCATTATTCACAAAGGATTGTTGTACTTTATATTTCAACCCAACAACAATCACAAAAACTTGCAAAATGCCAGTGTTCAAATAAAAAATCAGTAATGAATGTATCCAGGCAAAACAAATGACTATAAATAAGCCTAAAAGAGAATTATACAGGTGTTTTCCCAGAGAATCTAACAATTACAAAATAATTCTTTTAAACATAATTTACATAGAGTTTACCTACAAAACGTTAAACATTATAATGCATCCAAAGTAGTGCTGGGCAAAGATTAATCACACCCAAATTAAAGATTTTTTTTTTTGACATATGAATGTGTATAATATATATTTATTATGTATATGTAATACAAACACACATACATGCAACTTTGTTTTGCATATATATTTAAATGAACAAACATTTTGTATCATATACATATATATTTAATATCCAAATATAAATAAACATTTTCTAAATATATGTATGCATGTGAATATTTATAAATGCATAATAAATATACACAGTACAAACACACATAATTATGTCAAAACAAACTTTTATTTTGAATGATTAATCATGATAAAAAATGATCTAAAAATCAACAATGATCCCAATTTCATGTAGCCCGATTACTGCTGTTTAACCCTTGTACACTGTTCAAATTTACCCTTTTGTTATGTTCGGGATGAAAACATCCACTGAATTGAATTTGTAAACCAACCTCAGTCCTGATCAAAACTACTAAATTGTTTAGAAAACTACATGATTTTAACTCTTTAATTGCCAAATTCATAAATGATGTCACTGATTTGGTGAAAAAACACATGGCATATAACCAATATAAAAAGTAACTGTGGACTGGATTATTTTTACCTTTTATCAAGGTAAGGCTATTTCCCCAAGAGGGAAAACCACCAACAATCAAAAATACATGATTATATGATGGCATGATTTTGTAATAAAAAAAAATGTAGGACGAAAAAAATTTGAATCAATCTAAAAGAATGCATCAAAGTCAGTGTTGTTTCAAATGTCCAAGACAAAAACAATGCAGCCCACAATTACTTATTATATTGAAAATACGTCACTTTGTGTGTGTTTTTTTTACCAAAACAGTCAAATCATTTACAAATTTGGCAATTAAAGAGTTAAAATCCTGTAATTTTCAAAACAATTTAATAGTTTTGATCAGGACTGAGGTTTGATTTTCAGATTTCTGCAAAAAATAAATAGTGAAAAAAATGTATTTGATGCGTTTTTTTAGCAGTTAAATTTACCGTGTTACCGAACATAACAAAAGGGTAGTAAATTTGCCCAGAGTGTATATATATATATATATATTTTTTTTTTTTTTTTTTTTTTACAAATTCCAAAGTATTTTCTCAAAATATGTGTCAAAATAAGATTTGTCACCAAAAATCATTGTGCTAGCTGAAACACAGAAAAAATTATGACCTAATTAAGACTCAAAATCACCTCAGAGTGTATGAAAACATCCCCAACAGCACATAAGGGTTAATTGAAATGAATGACTTCTAGTCTGTCATTTGTTTGAGAGAGTAAGAAGGCAGATTTAGTAAACCTCAGCAAACAGGGATTACATACAGGGCCATCTCTGTCAGCTGCTCCTTTGTGAGGTTGAGAGGGTGATTGTAGGCTGTTATTCCATATTTGCGTCTTTCTGTCTTGGGTGGCAGGTTGGCACGAAGAAGACCGTTGTTCATAATATTCACAAACGACGCCATGGCATGCCATCCTTTATTATTAAACCAGACCTGAGAGAGGGAACAGATTACAGATGAAAAGAGAGATCAGAAGCTGGTCGAGCTTAAGAATAGTCTCTCACAGATGCCCTCACCTTCACATTGTTTTGGCTGGTGAGTCCTGAAAGCACATCTGGTAGTCTTTGAAGGAGCTGATCTAAAGAGCCATTCTGCAAAATAACAAAAGTGTAAAACACTTGTGAATGCTCAGTTGCGTTGTCTGTCTATTATAGTCATGTCAAGTCAAGCTGAGCTTTATTGTTATTTCACTACATGTGTAGGACCACGGTGCTACATAAATGAACATAATCAGAAATATGAACACAACACAGGGCGTAAGAGCTATTTTAAACCTGTACATAACTAGCATACCGGAGCAGTAATCTAACTATACTAACTACTAACTACACATACACTATTAATACTTAAAGCAGAAGTTTCAAACTGCCAGCCCATGGGCCATTTATAAATAATTTTGATGAGCATGATGCTGACAACTCAAACTAAATATGACAGCCCAATGTAGATGTTTTCGCAGGGATGTGTTATAAATTTATGTAGATTGGTTATAAAAAGGGCGAGGCAGTGGCGCAGTAGGTAGTGCTGTCGCCTCACAGCAAGAAGGTTGCTGGGTCGCTGGTTCGAACCTCGGCTCAGTTGGCGTTTCTGTGTGGAGTTTGCATGTTCTCCCTGTGTTCGCGTGGGTTTCCTCCGGGTGCTCCGGTTTCCCCCACAGTTCAAAGACATGCGGTGCAGATGAATTGGGTAGGCTAAATTGTCCGTAGTGTATGAATGTGTGTGTGTGAATGTGTGTGTGGATGTTTCCCAGAGATGGGTTGCGGCTGGAAGCGCATCCGCTGCGTAAAAAGTTGCCAGTTCATTCCGCTGTGGCGACCCTGGATTAATAAAGGGACTAAGCCGACAAGAAAATGAATGAATGAATGAATGAATGAATGGTTATAGAAATTAAAGTGGAATTCATGACGACTAATTTCAGCAGATTACAATAATTTTGTCTCCATTTTTATATTTAAAGAGGGAGAAGGGAGGGGGGGTGGTACTTCCCCCTCACTTTTAGAGACAGACCATTTAGAAACAAGTGATTAAGAATATAAACTTTTGAAATTCACCCCCCACACCCCCACTTTTAAAACGTCCACTACGCCCCTGGCTCTTAGTGAAGTGAAACATCCAGCTAAGGCTTAAATCTGAAAGTGCACAGTGTTTAAAACTATTGATTCATCTATAAAAGAGTCGACTCAGAGGGGTTCGAATGAATCGCCTCAGTCACGAGTCTTTAGCTGTGACGTCGATTCGGAACTCAAGCCCTGCCCATTTGTTGCATGCGCAGACCCAGGACAATTAAAACCCCAAGCTCTGACCACAAACACTATAGCAGATCCCGGTTAAATCGTGTCACGAAGATGCTGTGCTCTGAAGTGTGAGAGAAAGTTAGTGTTATTTTCCCTATAAAAAGATGAGGCTATAAAGAGTCCGTGGTTAAAGTTTATTTTTGCACAAATACCTCAGCGTTATAGCCCCAGCCTTGTGCTGTGTTTCTGTCAATTTTCTGACGAGTGCTTCAGCAATCTACACACTTACAACGAGGGATTTGTCGGGAGTTTGTTTAAGGAAGGATTAGAAAAGACTATTTGTCAGAGCTTGACAGGAACTTTACAGTACACAGTTCATGGACCAGTTTCTTACTCCATTCCACAAGTTAGAGTAAGTGTGATTAAAATGGCTGCCTCCTTGTTTTCTATAGCTTGCAAAATATGTATTTAATTCTTGTTACTTATAACCGCTTGTACTGTATCTTGTTAACTCCTTATATTCTCATATCGTGTCTAAAACAAAGTTGAAAACGCTTTGTTTACGGACTGTTTACATCGTTTGTGAGCTCGCGATCTACTGCTGTTTGTCCCTGGTATGGTCACCATCAGCTAATCCTACACACGTGCGACAGTCAAGTTTCAAAATGGTTCAGCTTTTGCCGCTGTGTGGATTAATACTGAATGTGTGTCAATGTTTTTACTTATGGTGAAGAACAGAGCAATATGCTGGTGTTAAACTGCATTGCTTTAATGCATACCTGCACTGGTCTCACACATACTCTCTGCACTCTGACTACTTCAAAATTGTTGATAAGCCATAGTGGGCATTTCTCTCTGGCTCACGCTGAACGCAGTCGACCAATCACAACAGACTGGGTCATCGGACCAATCAGCACAGATTAGCATCATGCTAAGGAGGGGTTTGGGAACAAATGAATCGCTGAACGAATCACATTGGAGTTGTTGGGATAATTTGGTAAAAATAAATGCATGTTGTAAGAAAATAAAAGTGTTTTTGACCTTGCATGCATATCAGACTGTTGTTGGAGACCCCCAAAACCAAAATATGACCTTTTTTAATGCATAATAGAGGCTCTTTCAGTTATAATTTTTTTAGCTTTATTATACATAGCATTATGGCAATAGTGTAAAAAGCATAACAACGGCATATTAAGCAAAAACCTTAGGTGACATACCTCTGCAATGTTATACCGTCTCCTAATAGCCAAAACAGACTCCTCCAGATGATGTGGCTCACTCATAGTTAGAGAGCTTTTAGCCCCAAGAGAGAAACCTCCATATCTGCAACAAATGAGCAAAGACTGAATCAACATCAAATTTAATGCTTAATGTTTGAATTAGTAAAGGCAATAGACTCACCTAAATTCATTAACCCATTTTTTTGTCTTTAAACTGTAAATAAAAAAAGAAAAATACACATTAATGCCGTCAGATTTGAAACTTTGATTGTATTCCATGTAATTTTAAGAAATATAATATAAAAATGAAACCTTTTCTTCAGAATCTGAGGATATGTCTTGATTAAGTAGTCTGAAATGTTGCGGCCTGTCAAGTTTTGCAGGATATCACCTGTGATTTGTTGCATCTACATCGGAAAAAGATGGAAGAAGGGTTAGCACTGAAATGAAAACATATGAAAAAGTAATATTTCATTCAAAGAGATAGTTCACCCAAAAATTAAAGTTTATTTATCATTTACTCACACTCAAGTGCTTCTATGAGTTTCTGTCTTCTGTTGAACACAGAAGATATTTAGAAGAATATAATTTTCCATTGACTTCCATAGAACGAAAAACAAATACTATGGAAGTCAATTGATTCCAGCTTTTTTTTTTTAAATCTCCTTTTGTGCTCAACATAAGAAAGAAAATCATAAAGGTTTGAAACAAGTAAAGGTTAAGTAAATGATTACAGCAATTAAATTTTTTTTGCATGAACTATCCCTTTAAAATGTTTATATTTGACCTAATTCTGTCGCTCCTAACAAGCAAAATTTTAGAGCATTCAAAACATTTATTCTTAATTTTTTAAGTTTTGATGAAAACAAAACAAAAGTAATGGTTTTTGAAGATACCGTTGGGACTCTGTTCAATTAGGGTTTGTTAGCTCAGCATATTAAACCTACAGTCACAAATTTAGGGTGAAATTTGACTCAGATTTTAAATTTGACAATAAGATGAGAGGGCGCGAAGCAGTGGCGTAGTAGATAGTGCTGTCGCCTCACAGCAAGAAGGTTGCTGGGTCGCTGCTTCGAGCCTCGGCTCAGTTGGCGTTTCTGTGTGGAGTTTACATGTTCTCCCTGTGTTCGCGTGGGTTTACTCCGGGTGCTCCGGTTTCCCCCACAGTCCAAAGACATGCGGTACAGGTGAATTGGGTAGGCTAAATTGTCCATAGAGTTTGAATGTGTGTGTGTGGATGTTTCCCAGAGATGGGTTGTAGCTGGAAGGGCATCCGCTGCGTAAAAACTTGCTAGGTAAGTTGGTGGTTCATTCCACTGTGGCGACCCCGGATTAATAAAGGGACTAAGCTGACAAGAAAATGAATAAATGAATCAGATTAGACCGGTAGTTAAATTTACCTTTTTTTCAATTAAGACATCTAGCACAAATAAAGCAATATATACCAAAACAACAGTTTGAGACAGTAATCCATGCTTTTATGACCACTCGGTTAGATTACTGTAATACACTGTATGTGGGGAGAAGCAGGTCAGCTATTGCCCATTTTAAATGGTGCAAAATGCTGCAGCGCGCCTTTTAACTGGTACTCTCAAATATGACCACATTTCCCCAGTGTTAGCTTCGCTTTATTGGTTGCCAGTAAATGTTAGAATACAGTTTAAGATTCTTTTATTTGTTTTTAAATCTCTAAATGATCTTGCTCCACCTTATATCTCTGAGCTGATACACTGATTGTGCCAAAAACAAAGCGCAAGCTTAAAGGGGATCGGGCTTTCGCTGTGGTAGGTCCTAGACTTCGGAATGATTTGCCGCTGCCCTTAGACAGGCTTCTTCCGTGTTCTCATTTAAATTAGCTCTAAAACTAGTTTTTTTTTTCGTTGGCATTTGACACCTGAACTGAATGACTGGTTATTTTAATTTATAAGTCTTTTTAGATAGTTTAGCTATATTTTATCTTGTATTTTGTGCATTTTATTTATTATTTTATTCATTCATTCATTTTCTTTTCGGCTTAATTTCTTTATTAATGTGGCTCAGCCACAGCCGAATGAACCGCCAACTTATCCAGCACATGTTTTATGCAGCAGATGCCCTTCCAGCTGCAACAAATCTCTGGGAAACATTCATACACACTCATTCACACTTATACACTACAGACAATTTAGCCTACCCAATTCACTTGTAGCGCATGTCTTTGGACTGTAGGGGAATCCGAAGCAAACTCCACACAGAAACGCCAACTGACCCAGTCGAGGCTCGAAACAGCGACCTTCTTGCTGTGAGGTGACAGCACTACCTACTGTGCCACTGTGTCGCCTATTATTATATTATATTTTGTTAAGCATCTTAATTTCATTGTTACTATTTTTTCAAATTTTTTTGGTTTGGTTTTATTTGTACAGTATGTTTGAGCTGTTTTAGATGTTACGAAAATCTGTGTGAAATTCATATCAAAAGCTCCTTTAAATATATATTTACCAAGAAAAATTGTGACATGTTCAATACTTAATTCACCTGCTGTACATAATGTAATTTGAAATCACAGTTTGTGTGAGTCCCAATTTTCATACCATTCTTAAGAGTGTGCAAATTATAAACATCATTTTATAGCATGCTGGGTCCATTTGGCTTAATCAATGGTTATTTTAATTCACACACATTTATAGATAGTTCAGCTATAATTTATCTTGTATTTTATATAGTATTATGCTTATTTTGTTGTATGTGTTTAGTACAGCACTTTGGCTCACTTCTGTGTTTTAAAGTACTCTATAAATAAAGCTTGACTTGACATTTAAAAATGTAAACCTGACTGGTAATGCACAATATATGACAAACGCATGGATAGACAGACAGACCTGAGGCGGAGGGACTCCTCCTGCTCCCTCTGGACATTCGGGCAGCATCCTGCGGATTTTCTCAGTACTGCACTCACATTCAGGGGAAGGTTTCTCTATGCTAAAGTTGCCATTATGAAAGAGCTGCCACATACTGTATGGAATTTGAGGCCGGACAAACTTTGTTTCAGCTTTTGCTAAACACTCAGTGTCTCTGCAAAAGCACACAATAAAAACAACATGAGTTACCCAGATTAAACAGTCCAGTCTATTTTCTGTTGATGCATTCCCATAGACTTGTACCCGTTTGGCTGCATACACTTAGTCCCAAACCCAGGTGGATCCAGAAGGGCCTTTAGGAGGTTCTGCATGGCTGGGTCCTGTGGGGCATCATTGCTTTAAAGAAAAGAGACAACAGGTGAAAGACTGCAGGAGGCAGGAGCCTTTCCTTGAAACTGTCCTTTGCAGAGTGTGTACCTGAAGAAGGTAAACTGCTCTCCATACATCCACGGCTGGAGCTCCAGCGATGGATATTTCCCAAACGGTGGAACAATGAGACTGAACAGTAGAGCAATAAGAACAAAAACAGCAGGCAAAACAATCTGCAAACACAATGACAGCTTCGTAAATAAAGTGTTGTTCCACAAAACGATTCAAACATGCCCAATAAGTCTGCATTTGTTTAATAAAAAATACAGTGTTGAGGAAAGTTACTTTGGAAAGTAAAACTCTCCTAAAAAGTAACTAGTTACGTTACATTTATAGTAAGTAAAGTGTTATGTTACTTTAACTTTTTTCTTACGAGGCTGAGGCTTGATCTCTTTCAGAACTTTTTTTTGTTTTAAATAGAGGAGCTCTGCAGTTAACAGCACATTGTATAACCTACATCTTTATTTACCTTAACAAAAACACCTTGAATAGTAATAATGTAAGATAACGTTATCTTCTAAGAGCTCCACAGGCCGTATATACAGATTATTGAAAGCTTAAAGCAATGTGAGCTTTTGTGTTTTTGTCATATTAGTGAAGTACAAACCATTTTCAAGTACTATTTCTTTTCTTCCAAGTGTTCAAAATAATGAACACATGCTCTCATCTTAATTTTAATTCAGCAATTTACTTATTAAAAGCTATTTAATTAAACAAAAGAAACTCAAATATTACTTCTTAATTTTTAAAGTAATGCGTTATTTTATTTGTTACTTAAAAAAAGTAATATTATTATGTAACTTGTGTTACTTGTGTGTGTGTGTGTGTGTATATAGATGATGATGATAGATAGATGATTGATAGATAGATAGATAGATAGATAGATAGATAGATAGATAGATAGATAGATAGATAGATAGATAGATAGATAGATAGATAGATAGATAGATAGATAGTTGGAAGGATGGATGGATGGATGGATGGATGGATGGATGGATAGATGAATAGATGGATAGATGGATAGATGGATAGATAGATAGATAGATAGATAGATAGATAGATAGATAGATAGATAGATAGATAGATAGATAGATAGACAGATAGATAGATGCTCTCCGAAAAACATACACAATTACGCATTGCTTATTCCCAGCACCTGCAGCAGTGAATGTTCGGAGAAATGCTGAGGTGTATGACCACCGCTGGGCTTTGCATTATTCATTACAAAGGTACAGCTAGAGGCTTATCTGCATGTCCAACCTAAACATATTGACTAACTTCTTCACATATACAAACATGAAACACAAGATTCCTTTCTAATGCATACATGCTATATACAGAAACAGGGTCTTTCATTTTGTTTGGCAGTTCTGAACACTAGCTTTGCTTAATTTAAGAAACTTTGGAGGATATTTGGTGCATTCAAGGTAGAATTGTTCTTCGTTGTGATGACAGGTTGATTTGCAGCAATATGGCTTTTTGACAGTGAAAAGACTGTAGTTGAGTCCTAAAAACTCTGCAAACTGCAATGTAGGAACTGTTGAGTGCATGATTAAACAAATTGTCCAAACGCACTTTCAAGAAGGTTTTATTATTATTATTATTATTATTATTATTATTTTGTTTCCTTTTATTTGCTTGCACATATTTCTATTAAACTGTGGCCTTAGTTTAAATAAATAAATAAATAAATAAATAAATAAATAAATAAATAAATAAACAGATAGATAGATAGATAGATAGATAGATAGATAGATAGATAGATAGATAGATAGATAGATAGATAGACAGATAGACAGATAGATAGATAGAAAATGCTTTCTTAATGAAATTATATACTTAAATGTAATTTATTTCTGATGTCAAATTGAACTGTCGCCATCACTACTTTACAGTGTCCTAACTACGCTGTAAAAATTGTTGTCAAATTTACATTATTACTGGAAGCTTTGCAGTATTACTGGCAACATAACAACTACTGTACACACAACACAAAAACATGCAATAAAAAAAAAATACTGAATCTGAAATACTGATATTCCAACAGGATATCAAGGAAAGAAACTACACATACTATAAACTATTATGTGTTTCCATCAAATTCCCCCTAAAAAGTCAACCTGCACTGATGAGTTGTGCACTATACCCATTTGATTTCATTTTAACTTGAATTATATAATAAAAAGTCATTTAAAAGGTCTGTTGGTAGAATTTGGAAATCATTTTTAGTTGATCATTTCAAAATGATTGTTTTAGTCATTGTCAGTGTCACTATGTACCTGTGCAAAAATCCCTCTGCGACTGCGGAAAGCGTACTTCAGTCTTTTGGTGAAAAGTGCTCGAAGCTGCTGACATGTGTGGAAGCAGCCTGTGAGAGGAGCGCTGTCGCTCTGACCATCCCCGCTCAGCGGATCTGTCTCCTGAGCCTCTGTGTGCCAGAGAAAGAGCTTCTGGTTAATAGCATCTCATTACAGATATTCTGACCTGCGCCACTGCTGTCAACATTAATTACAGTCTATTCTGATTCTTTTTGTACCTTTCCTGATTGACCGTTTCCGTGCTGCCAGTGAAGCAGAGAGAAAAGCAAAACAAAACATCTTTAAAATAAGTGACAACCCAAAGCCTTACATTTTGGTTCTGTTTGCTCTACAGCAGGCACATTTTGATTTCTAAGGGTGCTGTTGACCTGTTTATTTTCATCAGATGTAAGTAATAACCAAAGTAATCTATACATACAAAGAAAGCAAAACTCTTGTGGTAATGTGCTCTGATTCTTAAGAAGTGCTTACAGGTCTTGCAAGTGGGTTAAACTCATCAAGGCAAGACAACAACAAGTCCTGCAAATCTGTTAAGAACAAGCAGTGGTAGCTTTATAATACTTGTGGGTTCCTGCTGATGTGGGTGTGAAGGCTAATAAGTTATTTAATAGAAGTACAAGTGACTCTTAGCAAAAAAGATGTAAAAAAAATTGATTAAGGAGTTGTCAACAAAGCATGGGCCTGCCATCTTAAGGGCAGACATCTATAAAATATACAACAGCGAGTTGGGAAGGGAAGAGAGTTTGAGTAGAAAAGACGAAGGTGTCATTATTAGCCCAACACCTTAATTAAAAATTAAAAATCACTAAATGGGTAAATGTATATATTGTGGTTAGGCAAAAACATAACGCATGCATTAATAATAATTTAGAAAAAACAACCGCTCCCAGTTTAAAATTCCCAAAGCCCACTTTTTCAGATATCTGCAGGTACGTGACTTTACATGTAAGAATTTTCCCTCTTTTCCTGCCCTCCCTGAACAAAATCCTATTGATCAACTTTTTCCCGATGATGCAGAACAAAGTAGAACCATTTCAGTTTTATATAAGCTTGCATTATTATCATCTACTTCTAGATCTACACAAAGAGACTCCTGGCAACTAGACCTTAATATTAGTTTGACAGACGAGGACTGGAGTGAGGCTTACATAGAATCTATAGATCTTCTATTTGTGCTAGACATAGCCTTATTCAATTTAAAGTGGTACATAGACTTCATCTTTCCAAGGCCAAGCTGGCAAGGATGTATTCCTCTGTTGTGCAAATCCCTTAACTGCTATATTTGGTATTGTATATGAAAATAACAATCTGTCAAAAAGTGAATTAGACTGCATTGCCTTTACTTCTCTTTTAGCAAGACGCTTGATTCTAATCAATTGGAAACAATCATTTCCCCCTTCTTTCAAACAGTGGGCCAATGATATGTTGCATTTTCTTAGTTTGGAAAAAATAAGACTCAGTTGAAATGGTTCCGGGTCCAAGTTCACTGCCATGTGGCGTCCTTTCATAAACTATTTCCAAAGCTAAATGTAACTGTAAGTGGACAAAATGAAGCTGAAGCTGTCAGGTTTTGCTTTTACTGATGCTGTCTTCATTTTATTTATTTATTTATTTTGTCTTTGTTGGTATGTACACAATGTTAAAGCATTATGTGTATATTTATGTTGTGTTGTTAGTTATGCCGATTAATGTATGTTTTTTTGACTACTTAAATAAAAAAAGGAAAAAAAAAAAAAAAAACATCCGGCATCCAAAGCATCTTTGGAGAAAACATTGCTTTATGTTGTAAACATTTAGTGAAAACAAAAATTTAGTGCAATTATAAAATGTATTAAAGAGAGTGGTTTAGTCAAAAGGATTGATTGATTGATTGATTGATTGATTGATTGATTGATTGATTGATTGACTGCCTGCCTGCCTGACTGACTGACTGAATGACTGACTGACGGGCGGGCGGGTGAACGGACGGACGGACTGACTGGTTGGTTGGTTTGTTGGTTGGTTGATTAATTGATTGGCTGGCTAATTGATTGATTTATTGATTTATTGATTGATTTATTGATTGATTGATTGATTGATTGATTGATTGATTGATTGATTGATTGATTGATTGATTGATTGATTGATTGATTGATTGTGCACAGCAAAATCCTCTGAGTAATTACTTAATTAATTCTTTTATTGTCTCATTATTGTTAACTCTGCTGCTGAGTAACTTTTACTTAATTTAGAGAAGAACAAATGCACTCTGAACTGAGTATATTTTACTCTGAGGATTTTGCTGTTAGCTGATTACACTCCAGTCCAGTCGGTGCGGGTAATGCACCTAAAGTTGGTTTTATAGAAACTCTATGCACTCCACTACATATGCAACACTCCTTAACTTTTCTAAATTCACTGTAAACCTTGATTTACTATTTTGTTTTATTTTAAGAGTTCACACTTAGCTGATGATTGATAATAAAGCTTGTATGGCGTGCTGTCCCGGGAGAGACCCCTGAGCTTATTAGATCCCTTATTAGAGCCCTAGAGCCCTGGGCTCCTTCCTTGCAAGGCGAGAAGGGAGTTTGAGCTCAGGTAGATCTCAATGACTCCCCTGCTACTTATTGTAGCCAAGTGTCAGATATGGATACTGAGAAGGTGTACTCAGAGTTTGGCTAAAATATTTTGGATTAATTGTTTAGGGTGCTTGTTTTTGAACACTGGGAGGAAAACCCACGCGATCACGGGGAGAACGAGCAAAACTCCACATAGAAATTTTGCCTGGTTTGGAAGGGAATTAAAGCAGAGGCATTCTTGCTGTGAGGCAACAGCGCTAATCACTGGCCACCGTGTCGCCCGTTTGAAAGAAGGGAAAGTAGGGTTGGGGGGGCAGGAAGATATCGAGATGAGAAAAGTGTGGTTATTTATAGTGAGTTAAGGATCATCTGATAGGATTATTAGTCATTAGCTAAAGTTGGAACAGCTGTGAACAATCATAAGCATGTGATCCTCTCGAAATTTGTTTATAAATAAACTTCAAAAAGACATAGTCATAGTCATATTTCAATCAATTCAGTGCCAACAGAAAGTCTGCATGCTCCAAATTTACTGCAAGTGTGACTGTAAAATTGCTATGAACATTTGCTCAGGTATAAAATGCATTCATTTACCCGCATCTCTGTCCTCAGATGGCGCTCCCTGGGGTTCTTGAGACACTGGCGGATCTTCTGGGTCTGCATCCACACCAGTCTCCTCTGCCACACGCAGAAAGATCTAAAATATACAGGCAGAGCTAGTTACTACTCTTTGGCAAAGCCCATTCTGCTTTCACGTGGTAGATGGCCATACTTTGTTACAACAGCAGCCGTAAGAATTACTAGCACTCATGTTAAATTTGAATTATTTAAAAAAAGATTTACCAATTGTTGCATAATGGAACACACTGGTAAACATAATCATTTTAAAAACTAATTTTAATAACTTTTGTCTTTGCCATGATGACATATTTTACTAGTTATTTTGCAAGACATTAGGTTTCAGTCTAAAGTGCAATTTAAAAACTTATTATAACTAGGTAAGTTAGGATAATTAGGCAGGTAGCTGGATAACAAAGCTTTGTTCTGTAGGAAAACAAAATCATAAGGGAGCTAATATACGGGATCAGGCCATATCCTGAGCTGCTGCTGTGCTGGTGGTCATGGGGGAGTGGAGAGCATGAGACTGATTCCGGGGACAGACGAGTCTTCGCTGAGGCCAGCTTCCAGCCTCCACTGCTGAGACTGCAGCTCTGCACAAGACTTTTGGCCAGCGGAGAAATTAAAATGGTCGTGCCCAACTGAGTCTGGTTTCTCTTAAGGTTTTTTTTCTTCACTCTCCTATCGGTGAAGTTTTTTTTCCCTCGCCGCTGTCGCCACTGGCTTGCATGGTTCAGGATCTGTAGAGCTGCGCATTGATGAATTTGCTATTCAGTGTTTGGACTCTCAGTAATGATTTAAAACCACACTGAACTGAGCTAAACTGAACTGAACTGAACTTAAACACTAAAAACTGAACTACCCTGATCCAGTTACTATGACCATTTATGTGAAGCTGCTTTGACACAATCTACATTGTAAAAGTGCTATACAAATAAAGCTGAATTGAATTGAATTGAATAAAATTGTCCTTAAATTTGTTTACAAAAAAACTTTGTTTTTTAAATTTGTTGTACAGGCAAACCTAAAAAAATAAGACTTTCTCCAGAAGAAAAAAGATTATAGGAATTACTGTGGAAAATTGCCTTGGTCTTGGTCTGCATTTCTTGAAAAATATTTTAAAAAGAACAAATATTTTACAGGCGGGCTAATATTTTTGACTTTAGCTGTCTTACCTCCTCTAGCGTGGTGTCTGACAACCCGTAGCTGACCACACCAAACTCGCCCTGCCGTTTGTCCAGTTCATTCAAGAACAGAGCAAGAGTGCCATCCTCTGATGCAGCATTGGGCAGGTTGATGACAGCCTCCCGGCCTATGTCCTCCACCAGCTGAGCATCAGGAACATACTGCTGTGCAAGAGCCATTAGAGCTGCAACATCTAAGACAGGAAAGAGCCTTTACTTAGGACACTTAGGTCTAATGTATACCGTATACATATACAGTTGAAGTCAATAATTCTGATTTCAACTGTTTATGTATACTGTTTACATTAGCTTCCCTGTAATTTTTTCCCCCAATTTCTGTTTAACGGAGAGATTTATTCAACACATTTCTAAACATAATAGATTTAATAACTCATTTCTAATAACTGATTTATTTTATCTTTGCCATGATGACAGTAAATAATATTTAACTAGATATTTCTATTTAACATTGTTTAACAAGACACTTCTATACAGCTTAACTTGACATTTAAAGGCTTAACTAGGTTAATTAGGTTAACTAGGCAGGTTAGGGTAGTTAGGCAAGTTATTGTGTAATGATGGTTTGTTCTGTAGACTCTCAACAAAATATATATGTCACAATTACCAGCGGTCATTTCCCATAAGATCGCTGATTTGCACCAACAAATACCATGGACTACAAATCCGCCATTTCTGGACTACATATTCACACATGCACTCCGGTCACACTCACACATGCTTCCTCATCTAGACTGATTACATTCGCACACCTGAGGACTTTCAGAGACTGATTAACACACACTATTTAAGCCACACATTCACCCCTTCAGTTTGCTGAGTCTTGTTCACTGTTAAGTAGCATTACAACTTGTTTTCCCAGTCTTGTTATCTTGTGTACTGACCGTTAGCCTTGTTAGCCTCTTTGTCTTTGCCTGCCTTTCTGACCTCTAGCCTGTATTCGGCTGTGATTCTGGACTGTCTCCAAATACCTGTTTGCACCTGTGTTGACCATCGCTTGCCTGACTTTGAATAAACCTGCATTTGGATGTTACCTGAGTTGTTGGTGTTACTCCTCGACGTTACATATAGCTTAAAGGGGCTAATAATAGCCCTTAAAATGATGTTTGAAAAATGTAAAACTGCTTTATTTTAGCTGAAATAAAACAAGTAAGTCTTTCTCCAGAAGAAAAAATACTATCAGACATACTGTGAATATTTTCTTTCTCTGTTAAACATCATTTGGGAAATATTTAAAAAAAGAAAATCAAAATCAAAAAGTGGAGCTAATAATTCTGACTCCAACTGTTTATAAACAGTATGAAATTCTACAATAGAAACTTAAGACATGTGATGGAAACATTCCTAGCTCTACTAACCAAATCCATTCTCTTCACTGCCCAGGCCCGTGTCATCACTCACAGAGGAATCACTATCCTGAAACACAGACACCAGGTGATGTTATGCTGGAGAGCACAGTGTCTGAATAAAAGGTGGTAGGGGGATTATAAACTGATGAAAAGTAATTACACTAAATGTAAAATTAATATTTGTGGCCACTCAATAAATGTAAAAATTCTTCAATTGTAATTTTGTGTGTTAAAATGACAGCAAAGACTGCAACTGTAATCATGTTTACAGAGTGAAGAAAAGTGTTACACACATTCATTTTACAGTGTTTTCAGCATAAAAGCGCCCTATGTAACAGTAAAAGCTTCTGACAATCCCTGTACCGATTTTAACAAGCATTTTGGGAACATTCACTCATATTTTACAGAATGTATAGTTTTCCCCCAAAATAAAGATTTTAAAGTGCATCATTAAATAAAACATATTTTACTTTAAAATATTTGTATTTAGGTAGCACAATCGCCTCACAGTAAGAAGGTTGCTGGTTCAAGCCCCGGCTGAGGCATTTTCTGGAGTTTGCATGTTCTCCGCGTGTTGATGTGGGTTTCCTCCGGGTGCTCCGGTTTCCCCCACAAGTCTAAAAACGTGGTACAGGTGAATTGGGTGAGCTTAAATGACCGTAGTGTATGTGTGTGAATAATTGTGTGTGGATGTTTCCCATTGATGGGTTGCAGCTGGAAGGGCATCCGCTGCATAAAACGTGCTGGATAAGTTGGCGGTTCATTCCACTGTGGCAACTCCTGATTAATAAAGCTACATTAATGAATTAAAAGTCTTAGTTTTATACCCAGACATTAAAAAACGAATATATTTTAGAGCAGTAATCACAATACCGTGAAACTGTGATGTTTTTATTCAAGTTTATCATACCGACAGAATCTATGCCTGTTTGGTTGTGAGACGCAGTTTGGACAAAGTTGTCTGCGATTCTTCCTATTGTAAAGTCATGCAGTGAAAAACCTCCTGTCGCTGATCCATCTTGCAGTGTAAACAAAGAAGTAAGAAAGAAGTATGAAAACGCTACCCAGGATAGTCATGCAGTGTGAAAACATCTGTGACACGACAACTTTAAAAAATCGCGCAGTCTGAACTCGGCATAAGGTGGCAATTATGTGATTTTTTTGCTGTGTTTAATATGTTTGAATAGTTTACCTCAGAGCTTGAAAATAAAATAGTAAACATGAACGTCAGAACTGTGCAAACAAACAACCTCTGTCACTCAGCTTGTACTTTTAATAATGTTAATGAAGTGAATCTTTCCTTCGGCTTAGTCCTATTATTAATCTGGGGTCACCACAGTGGAATGAACCACCAACTATTCCAGCATAAGTTTTACGCAGCGGATGTGCTTCACAGTACTGGGAAACATCCATTCACACTCATACACTACGGCCAATTTAGCTTATTCAATTCACCTATGGCGCTTGTGTTTGGACTGTTGGGGGAAACCGGAGCACCCGGAGGAAACCCACGGCAACTTTAGGAGAACATGCAAACTCCACAGCCCGTTAGGACTCAAACTAGTGACCTTCTTGCTGTGAGGCAAGCCACAGTATCGCCCCTAATGAAGTGTAAAATTAACTAAATAGATTATAAAACTGTCTATGTCATTGGCGGTGCTGTGGAATATTCTGTGTAACTGAATAATAATTCTGTGTAACTGACTCTGATAATTAAAAGTTTCTGTCATGTTGCATCTGGTACAGACAGTCAAATTGCCTGTCGCTGGAATATTGTCATATTGCATGTTTTCAGTATAAAGTATTAGTATAAAGCCCTGTCTGTAAAGTGATGGACAAAAGTCAAGGTACTCAATGGGGAAATGGAGAATAGGGATGTGATTTATATGCCTCATCTTACTTTGGGACTTGCAGCTGAAGGGATTTTGCCACTGCTGGTGTTGCTGGGTGTCCTATGCATCTCTCTCTTCACCAGCGTTAGGTAGTATCCTGTACCAAGACGTGCTTTGAGGAACAGTGGCGTTCCACAGCAGCACAGTTTTCCCTGGGAAATGATTGCAATGCGATCACCGAGGAGATCAGCCTCATCCATGTAATGTGTGGACAGAATGATGGTGCGGCCTACAATGCAAACAATTTTAAGTCTGACAGTAGAAACCAGTAGATTTAAGACATTTTTCATAAGGTAAAAATTTAAAAGACCTTCACGGTATTTAAGCAAAAGGTCCCAAATCCCACGGCGTGAGTAAGGGTCCACACCAGCTGTAGGCTCATCCAAAACCACAACCTTCGACCCACCTATGAAAGCAATTGCTACCGACAGTTTCCTCTGCATGCCACCTGCCAAGAAAGACAAAATGCATTCAATTAAATTATAGAGTTTACACTTTAGAGAACACCAACATAATTCAAACCCTTGAAAGGATCTGAAATATATTTTGGACTGGACCACAAAACCTTAAGTCAACTTTTTAAAAGTGAGATTTACATCATCTGAAAGCTAAGATACAACTATTGACTGTACAACTCTTGGTTAATATGTCTAGAAGTCAAAATCATGAGAAATTCACCTTCAAATTTGTCCAAATTAAGCTCTTAGCAATGGATATTATTCATTAAAAGACAAGTTTTGATAAATTTCAGTTGTAAATGTACAAAACATCTCAATGGAACATGATCTTTACTAATATCCTAATGATTTTTGGCACACAAGAAAAATCCATAATTTTAACCCACACAATGTATTTTTGGTTTCTGTCAAAAGATATCCGTGCAACATAAGACTGCTTTTGTGCTCCAGGGTCACATTTGTCATTATACCTGAAAGGTTTTTGGTCTGCTCAAATCGTTTATGTTGCAAGCCCACATCCTCCAGAAGGGAATTCATCTCTTTGTTCACCTCCTCCAAGCTCATGCCCTTCATTCGACCATAAAACCACACATGCTCCTCCACTGTAAGACTTAAGCAACATACAAGAGAACACCATTTATTTTACATATAGAAATAAGTACAGAAAGTATGAGCTTATCTTATATGGCAACACAAAATGTACTATAACAATTACAATAAAAAAACTGCAGTGGTATCATGTAAATAATGTTGATTTTTTAATATTTATTATATCATTCATTCATTCAGTTTCCTTCAACTTAGTCCCTTAATTATTAGGGGTCGCCACAGCGGAATGAACAGCCAACTACTCCAGCATATGTTTTTACACAGTGGATCTTCCGGCCTTCCAGTACTGGGAAAACACCAATACACAGCCGGGACTCGAATCAGCGACCTTCTTGCTGTGAGGCAACAGTGAGCCACCTTGCTGCCTATATTATTCATTCATTCATTCATTCATTCATTCATTTTCTTTTCGGCTTAGTCTTTTTATTAATCTTGGGTCACCACAGCGGAATGAACCGCCAACTTATCCGGTTTATGTTTTACACAGCAGATGCCCTTCCAGCTGCAAAACATCACTGGGAAACATCCATACACACTCATTCACACACATACACTATGAAAAATTTAGCCTACCCAATTCACCTATACCGCTTGTCTTTGAACTGTGGGGGAAACCCTGGGAGCAGCCAGAGAAAACCGACCCACTGCGCCACCGTGTTGCCCAATATATTATATTATATTATATTATATTATATTATATTATATTATATTATATTATATTATATTATATTATATTATATTATATTATATTATATTACATTATATGTTATTATATTATATTACATTATATGTTATTATATTATATTATATTATATGTTATTATATTATATTATATTATATTATATTATATTATATTATATTATATTATATGTTATTATATTATATCATATTATATTATATTATATGTTATTATATTATATTATATTATATTATATGTTATTATATTATATTATATTATGTTATATTATATTATATTATATTATATGTTATTATATTATATTATGTTATATTATATTATATTATATTTTATATTATATTATATTATATGTTATTATATATTATATTATATTATATGTTATTATATTATATAATATTATATTATATTATAATATATTATATTATATGTTATTATATTATATTATATTATATTATATGTTATTATATTATATTATATTATATTATATGTTATTATATTATATTATGTTATATTATATTATATTATATGTTATTATATTATATTATGTTATATTATATTATATTATATTTTATATTATATTATATTATATGTTATTATATATTATATTATATTATATTATATGTTATTATATTATATAATATTATATTATAATATATTATATTATATGTTATTATATTATATTATATTATATTATTTTATATTATATTATATGTTATTATATTATATGTTATTATATTATATTATATGTTATTATATTATATTAAATTATTTTATATTATATTATATGTTATTATATTATATTATATTATATTATATTATATTATATTATATTATATTATATTATATTATATTATATTATATTATATTATATTATCAGTAAAGGTATAAGATATAACACTGCCAACATCAGTGGTTCTCTAAGCCAAATTCCCAAAGTACATGTTAAATTATCATGATACCACTTTCTTTGCTTTTTAAGTCCACTGGTGCCCTACATGTCAAAGAGGACATTGTGCTGGGGACAAACACCCAGAGTCCTGCGGATGATGTCCATATCTGAGCGAATGTCCATTCCCTTCACGTATATGGTACCAGCGGTAGGAGGAAACAATCCTGTTAGAATGGACCTGTGAGTCAAATCATAAAGTATTGAATGAGTTGCAGTAGTTAAAGCTTGACAAAAACAAATGAAATAATATATATTTGCTATGCTTCATTTTTTTAGCTCTCACATTGTGGTTGTCTTGCCAGCTCCATTGTGACCCAGAAAAGATGTTATTTGGCCCTCGTAGAACTTTATGTTAAGATGATTAACAGCAAGCTTGGCCCCCTTTTTATAAATCTTGACTAAGTTTCTTATAGAAACTCCCAGAATGAGATTTGTTGGCTCAGCTTCAATCCGGGCTGCAAATAGGGATTGGAATTATTGTAAATATTAAATCAAAAACATGATGCACAAATCTAATCACCCAACAGCATTAATTCAAATATTCTGAGCAAAAACACACACTTAAAACTTCTGTATAACAAACACAGGGGGATTTTCGCAGTTTGATGCCCTTACCATCTTGTTCCTCTCTAGGTGCTGGAGGAATGGGTAATCCCAACTCTAAGGGAACCCCACCCCAGTAATTCAGCTGGAAGATAAAATACCAAGGTCTGGGAATGCCATACTGCCCTGGAATACAATATTATTGCACAGTTTTTACACACAGGCTAATTCAACCATGGTAACAGGCATGAACATCAGCAGCGTGTTAAAAAAGTGTTGAACACATCACCATTTTTCTCAGAAAACATATTTCTATAGGTTCTGTTGACTTCATTCATACAAAGAAAAGAATCAACTAATTTCTTTGTTTGTAATTTGTTTAGAAATTAAGGTATGTGTAAAAGTATCGAACACATGATGAAACCAGGAGTAAAATAGGCAGTGAAAGCCCAGACAGCAGCTGGAATTGCTGAGTGGATATTCAGCCCCTCATCAGAAGCGAATGGACATGTTCAGCAACAATACTCAGGTAGGCTGTGGTGTTGACATGATGCTCAATTGGAATTAATGGGCCTAAAGCAGTGTTTCTCAACTGGTGGGTCGTGACCCAAAAGTGGGTCGCGGGAACATTTTCAGTGGGTCGCGGAGTGTGTAGTCAAAAAGACAACTAAAATTAAATTTTTTACTTTTTTTGCTTATATCAGACTTTTATTTTGAAATCCGTGTGTGACAACTGAACTTTACTATAATTTGATGCATTTTGTTAAATGACAGCAATAAAGTATTGTTTATTTGTAAGCCTTAGTGATTTTCTTATGATTTATCTGTCACTACGTGTGCATGTTAACAAATAAATACAAATGAATTATAATTCCTAAAATTATATTATAGTTCCTAAAAATTTAGGTCGCTGATGACTATGGACCTGATGACTAAATACAAATGTGGGTCCCATGGCCAAACTAGTTGAGAACCACTGGCCTAAAGTGTGCCAAGAAAATATCCGCCGCACTATTACACCACCACAACCAGCCTGAACCATTAGGGAGGATGGATGCATGCTTTTATGTTATTAATGCCAAATTCTGACCCTATCATCCGATTGTCACAGCAGAAATCGAGACTCATTAGACCAGGCAATGTTTTTCCAATCTTCTATTGTCCAATTTTGGTGAGCCTGTGTGAATTGAAGCCTCAGTTCTTAGCTGACCGTAGTGGCACATGGTGTGGTCTTCTGCTTCTGTAGCCTATCCGCAACAAGATTCTTGTTTTGTGTGTTCAGAGATGCTCTTCTGCATATCTCGGTTGTAATGAGTGGCCATTCTCCTCTGACCTCTGGCATCAACAAGGCATTTGCGTTGAAAATCCCAGTAGATCAGCAGTTTCTGAAATACTCAGACCAGCCTGTCTGGCACTAACGACCATGCCATGTTCAAATTCACTTAAACCCCCTTTCTTCCCCAATCTGATGCTCGGTTTGATCTGCAGCAGACTGTCTTGACCATGTCTACATGCCATCTGATTGGCTGATTAAAAAAATTTGCGTTAACAAGCAGTTGGACAGGTGTACCTTAAAAAACGGCCGGTGAGTGTATTTGTATATTTAAAAAAAATCACAATATTAGTGTTTTACATTAGAGCATTAGAGCACTACTTCTTTCCAAAACACAAACATAATCCTACCAACACAAATCCCTTGTTCACAGCAATTGATGAATCCCCAAAATCCACATTAAGAGATCAAAAAGAGACACAGTTGGAATTATATATGTCTGACTTTGCAATTTGTCACAGGAGGATGCGTTACCTGGAAAGACAGCTTCAATGTACCAAGTGGCCAGTGCATAGATTAGAGCATCTGCATACAGCATCATGATGGAGGTGTTGAAGCTGTAGGTGTCTCCCTCCATGGGGCTGGATTTCAAGTTAAACCACTGGATCCCCACACCCTGCTCTTCATACTGAGAGAAATACTCACAGCCAAAACCAAAGGCCACAGGAGACAGGAAGCTCTACGAGAAAACAAGCCTTTCATTTAGACAAATGTATTGCAGGATTAATTCAGATAGTGATTTTATGTTTTCACATCCTAACACTCTTCACATCTCTTATGCTGTGTTCATACCAGACGCGGAACGCACGGATAAATCGCGCTATTTGCGCGTAAATAGTCGGGTGAACATTTGAGGTTACTCGCTTCATTTACGCGCCAAACCCCGCTTCATTCGCGTGTCAAATTTACTTCAAAACAGACGCGGATTCGCGTGATGGGCAGGGCTTCTGTCTGCTATGTGACTCTAGCTTCATAGCTAAAGGGCTAACATGGATTTTATGAAGAAAATAACAGTGTTTATGTGCTTTAGGAAGGATGATAAACAGCGTCAATATGTTTAGAGCTGTGTTTGAGTCCACTACATCCTTTCAGAGGTGCATCCAGCTCTTTAAGCTCATAGACTCCTCCAGATACTGAACCTGGCTGATGGAGGTTTTCAGCGGTGCTTCTGACTGAGCCCAGCCCCGTTTGATGACCTTCTTGTCGGTGTCTGCTGGGGGATTTATACCTGGGACACTGACAACAGGCGATACATCACAATCACGCCCCCACAAGAGCAAGCTCCTGATTGGTTAACGCGGCGCGAATGTCCGCTGAAGTTCAGATTTTCGAACGCGAGCGAAACGCGCATCAAACGTGCAAAACGCTCAATTCGCGCCACGCCATTCGCGGTATGCGCACTGCGCAATTCTCGTCATTCGCGCCGCGCCATTTACACGTATCGCGAACGCAGCATTACAGTTGAAGTCACAATTATTATCCCTCCAGTGTTTTTTTTTTTTTCTTTTTCAAATATTTGCCAAATTATGTTTAACAGAGCATGGCAGTTTTCACAGTAATGTTTTTTCTCGGATTAAAGTTTTATTTCGGGTAAAATAAAAGCAGTTTTTAATAGTTCTAAACCATTTTAAGGTCAATATTTTGAGCTCCACTAAGCAAATTTTTTTTGATTGTCTACAGAACAAACCATCCTTAAGCTGCGGTCACACTGGACTTTTCTCCCCATAGACTTCCATTCATACGCACGTGATCGCGTCAGAGCGGAAATGCAAGGTCATGCGGCAGGTTTGGCAGTTCGCTGCATTGGAATGTTTAATCTTGGTGAACTCTGACCTGCAAAATCACATCATATGATTGCGTGAGACCAATTGAGGATCAAAACATGACCTCCCTAAACAGAAATTTAAAACATGGACCAATCGTTCGCTTTTTTTGATGTGTAATCATCTTGTTTAATCCTGCTTCTTTTCGCAGCACTGTACGACAGAATTTTGCAAGCTCAAACTCTAGTGTGACTGCGGCATCATACAATGACTTGCCTAATTAACCCAATTAAGTCTTTAAAAGTCCCATGAAGTGCTTTTAAATATACATTTTTATTCTACATTTCACGTAATCTCAACCGAAACATGATGAGAAGGTGGAACAATGTAGCTCCTCCCCTTTTAAAAAAAAAGCCAATAGTGTTTTGTTTTGAGCTGATGGTTGAACTCAAGTGCATTAAAATGAAAAGCAAATGAGAAGCGTCTTGAAGGGGGCGGCCCATGTCAGATACTAGAGAGCATTTGATTTGTTATGATGTGATGATAGTCTGTAGTGTGAGACAAAGACTATATGATACACAAGACGTGTCACTCGTACACTTTTGAATGGGAAAAAGTGAATCTGTCAATATGGCGAATGAAGCCCCGCCTTCTAGCATAGGAGCCAATCAGCAATCACTTTAGAATGATAATTCTTCGGGGGAGGGGCTCGGACCAGACTTAAGTTTCTGCAGATTTTTTGTTATATGAACATTTAGAAATGAAACTAAATAGTTGCTGTTTAATTTTATTGGTTATTCGTAACATGAAATGTAATTGTAAACTTGGCAAGTAGTTTTTGAATGGGGAATTTGATGTTTCCTCATTCAAACCAAAGAGCTTTGAATGACCAAGAGGCAACACTCAATAGAACCATTGGATCTTTCACGATGGCAAGCAGCTGCTTTGTTATTTATTTATTTATTTAAAAAGCGCATTAAGGCTGAGATACAACCCAAAAGACGACAATACAACATTACTATCACAATCATCAGTACTTTTAATAGTTTATTTACTGACTTATAATATGCTGTTGTTCTATTGGAATTTTCATTTCAAAATGGCCACCATGCCATCTAGTGGCTGTTTCCCAAATCACACTAGAGTGTCGCCTCTTGGTGATCCTATGCTCTTTGTTTAAACCTAATGCCTTAGCATACTGCCCGAGAAATGTTTCAAAGATGGCCGCCGAGTGAAATGAATTGCCTTAAAGGGACTTTGTGTGAGGTGACATGAATATAACAGTTGATCCATTTGGCCGGAAGTGCCAAATTACAAGCTTTACATGTTTTACATCTTCTAAATGCAAATTTTGTCACTGTTTTGGGGCACATTAGCTCATAGATATCCTAAAAAACAAATACTACTGATAATAACATCTAAAAAACTTTATTTTAATTCCATGGGACCTTTAAATGTAACTTTAAGCTGAATACTAGTATCTAGTACCTAGTCAAATAATCTGTACTGTCATCATGGCAAAGATAAAAGAACTGAAGTGATTAGAAATTAATTTTTAAAACTATTATGTTTAGAAATGTGTTGAAAAAATTGGTAAAAAAAATATACAGATGGGCTAATAATTCAAGAGGGCTAATAATTCTGACTTCAACTATATATGATCTGTGGAGTCAAGCCGGCAGAGGAAAAAATCTCACCGCTAAGATCCTGTGTGTGCTGGTCAGATATTCCCTCCAGGCTACACACAGCACATACGGCAGGTAAAGTGTGAAGTAAATAAGTCCTCCGCACGCTGCTGCCAGGTTAGCGCGTGAGAAGAACGTGCTGATGAGGAAGCAAAGCATGATGGTGGCTGTAGCAAACGCAGCCAGGAAGAAGAACACAACAGCCGGGTCACTGTAGGGTAAAATATCTCCCCACTGCAAGAGACAGCAGAGAGACACAAAGCTTAATACATATTTTAACAATTTTAAGAAACATTTAAGAGGAACTATAAACCTTTTCCAAGCATTTTTAAAACACTTACCAGATGCATTTTAAAAATGTTTCCGCCATTTTACAAGTGTGACAAATTACATATTTGCATACATTCATTCATTCATTTTCCTTCGGCTAGGTCTCCTTATTAATCAGGGTTCGCCACAGCGGAATGAACCGCCAACTTATCCAGCATATGTTTTACACAGCGGATGCCCTTCCAGCTGCAACCCAGTACTGGGAAACATCCATACACACTCATTCACACTCATAAACTACGACCAATTTAGTTTATTCAATTCACCTATAGTGCATGTCTTTAGACTGTGGGGGAAACCGGAGCACCCAAAGGAAACCCACACCAACACGGGGAGAACATGCAAACTCCACACAGAAATGCCAACTGGCCCAGCCGGGAGTCGAACCAGCATATATATATATCAGTGCTTTCAATCGATTAAAAAAAATTAACTAATTAATCGCACTTTAAAAAAAAAAAGAATCACGATTAATCGCATTTAAAAGACTGAAACTTGTAATTTTGGCTATTTTAACGTAAAATTAATGTAAACGCAAGACAAATACTATTTAAATTCAAAATAAAATTTATTATTAGAATTTTTTTTAAACTTGTAACACAGATTTCGTTATGTAAACAACATACCCACAATAAACCATCAAGATCCTGGCTTGACAGCCATATTTATTACAGAAATAAAAGCACAGGCATGTTAATGCCATTTGAATTTCAAAACAATCAACGCCAATAAAGAAAACATTGATTTCCATGTTGGATTCTAAGTGGACTGCAAAAAAATGCCAAATACAAGTATTACAGATATTGAAAATAATAATAATAATAATAATAATAATGATAATAATAATAATAATAATAATAATAATAATAATAATAATAAAGTATTGAATACAAACAATTGTACTAATTGCAGGGCTGGACTGGGACAAAATAATCAGCCCTGGCATTTTGGGCCAGAGCGCCCACTACATCAATCAAAATGCTCCCCATCACCCCATGCCCTTGAATATGTTTACCAACTCCCATTCTATAAAAGCACAAAAGCCATATATAGGACATGACAAGAGTTGACAAATTAAAATCTTTATTTATTTATTTATTATTATTATTATAAAATTACAATCCACACTGGAAATGTGTGTGCCTGTGTGTTTTGAGGGAGTCTAATAAATGATGAACATGACAAAAACTGCCTGCTGACGCACACAGTTTATTGTTTATTAATGAAATAAAGATAAATATTAAAAGCAATGTATCAGAGACCCTTAAAAAATGTTTAACTTAACAATGAAACATCAAATGATGCTAAAAGATTTTACATTGTCAATCAAATGAAAGATGCAACAAATAATTGTTTGGGCCCGAACTACAAAACTAAATGTAAAGAAAAGTTACTTAAGTTGCACACTAGTTTGGTCATGTATTAATATCATAATAACCATATTGTTTAAATATTATTGTCACTTTAAGCCTACATCATGCTGATGATCAAAAACACAACTCATGATATCTCATGTGCTTTTCTTCTGACCGAGTGCATCTTAAAATGCATGACTGACACTCCTCATAGAGCTTGAGAAGCAGACATTCTTAAAAATTTGTAAAATAAAGACCTGCAGGTTGAGGAAACAGCATAGAAGGAAGTTGCCACGGGCCGTGATGCAGATTAAAATTAAAAAAAAAAGTATATTTATATGGACAGATGGGTAACTAGATAGAATAGACAGGAATATATTGATCTGTGCTCCGCTGCACGCTGCTGAGTGCAGACGCAAGAGGCAAAAGCCTGCTCTCCGCTTCTGCTCTCCCCCGCGTGAGAAACAGGCTATTTTGACAAATCCCAACATGGAAGTTTGTGATTGGGTCAGCCCAATGTCAATAAAGAAAAGAACCAATGGGCTGCAGATTATGTCACATGGCCGCTCTGTCCGGAAAAGAAACATCTTACTTTCAGAGCGTGACAGCTTGTCAATCACTTAAGGAGAAAAACATGACAGTCTGCTAACTGTTTTATGGGCCGATCAGATCATAAGAAGATGATCAGCCCGGCCCAAAAAGTACGTCGACTCTGCGGGAAACTGCCCGGACTGCTCGTGGCCACAACAGGAAAAAAAAACTGCAACTGCGTTAATTGCGTTAATTTTTTCAAATTAATCGCATGCGTTAACACGTTGATTTTGACACCACTAATATATATATATATATATAAAAGCTTAAAGTGGTGTAACCATAAAACTCACTTGGGGCTCTGCAGAGCTGTAACTTTGTTTTTACATAGCTCACCTTAAGGGCGGCGATAAGGAGTGCAGCACTAAACAGGAAGGGCAGGTAACTGCTGATGAACCAGCTGAACCACAGCATCCCTGAGCCCAGACCCATGATGCGCATGGTCTCCTTCAGACGAGCCTCTTTCTCATAGACAACACCCTTGATGATCATGGCCACAGAATAGATCCACGCCAGTGTCATAAACAGAGGCAGAGAACGATTCAGCACACGGATAAATCTAACAAAAGAGGGGAAAAAAGGTTAATGGCTTGTGGTAAAGAAAAAGAACAAATATTGTACACTTTTTTTTGGTTTGCTTTATCACATTCTACATACATGCATTCGTTACAAATCAAACTTTTAAAAAAGTTGAATTCATTGTTAAGTCATGGATGTACATTGTGAAATAATGTGTTGTCAAACAGAAGAGAGAAACTCACACATCATCAACAAAACAGGGGTAAGGCATCTGCTGCACATATATTCCCGTTTTGGCCTCTTTACCAGTGAGCAAGCGTGTCACGGCTCTCTCAACTAAATCCTGTACATAAACAAAACCACCCCAAACATAGCGCATGTCACTGAACGGTTCGGCAGCCGGGCCTGGGTCCCAAAATCTGTCACATAATAAAACATAACATCAGCTTTATTAAACAAATGACCACGAAAGCACTACATAATGATAATTTTCTGTAAGTTTAAGTGTGTGTGACATTTCAATATACTTGTCTTTGATCTTGTTTGTGCGGGTGACATCATCTATGTCCATGCGGATCTTGTACTTGACATGTGGAGGCAGTACGGATGATGAAGAGTTCGGGAGGAGAAAGACGATTCCAGCCCAGAACTGACGATCTTCCAGCAACTCCAGAGCTCGTTCTACCATCTCACCCTCTGTGGTCAGACCCTCCAATTTATTCAAAGAAAAGCACTGGAATAATGAAGATATACAGACAATGATCAATACAAAAGACCTGTTTCAAATGCAAGTTAGGACGACTATATGACAATAAGTTTATGCGTCTCTTGATGCGGATGCTTTCCCTGTGTTCTACACCTCAAATAACAAACTGGCAAAAGATATGTGAACGTTTCATATTACTTACACAGGCTTATAAGCCGAATATATATGAAAGGCACTTGTCAGATTTTGTTTTAGAGAGCAGGCGTGAGGTTCAGCTGTGTCCTCTGTGTCATTTTCTGTCTGATTCAGGCCCAAACTGATACGGCTAACAGCTACTCTGACTGAAAGTATTTATACAGAGCAAAAGCGCGTGCTAGTAGAGGCGTGACACTTTTCCTAGTGACATGGAGCGGATCTGCAAATCACAGCACATTATGTTAGCTGACCAATCAGAGTCTCTTGAAGGCGGGCTTTCGGAGGAACTAGGAAATAGGATAGCTGTTTTCATGGTAGCTTTATATAATCAAAACTAGATTATTAAAGTTCGTCGAGACAAACTTTAGGCTGGCTTGAGAAAGCTTTAATTTTTTAAGTTTTAAAGCAGTTTTAAGTTAGAAGTAGCTTAAAGTTTTAAAGCAGTTTTAAGTTTAAAGTAGCTTAAAATGTTGAAGCAGTTTTAAGTTTAAAGTAGCTTGAAGTTTAGCATGATTCTAACATGAATTATCATGTTGTTAGCATGATTCTAGCATGAATTAGCATGTTAATAGCATGATTCTAGCATGAATTAGCATGTTACTAGCATGATTCTAGAATCAATTAGCATGTAATTAGCATGAATTAGCATGATTTTAGCATAAATTAGCATGCTAATAGCATGATTCTAGCATGAATTAGAATGTTACTAGCATGATTCTACCGTCAATTAGCATGTTACTAGCATGATTGTAGCATGAATTAGCATGCTACTAGCATGATTCTAGCATCAATTAGCATGCATTAGCATGATTTTAGCATGAATTAGCATGTTACTAACATAATTCTAGCATGAATTAGCATGTTACTAGCATGATTCTAGCGTCAATTAGCATGTTACTAGCATGATTCTAGCGTCAATTAGCATGTTACTAGCATGATTCTAGCATGAATTAGCATGTTACTAGCATAATTCTAGCATGAATTAGCATGTTACTAGCATGATTCTAGATTCAATTAGCATGTTATTAGCATGAATAAGCATGATTTAAGCATGTTACTAGCATGATTCTAGCATGATTTAGCATGTTGTTAGCATGATTCTAGCATGAATTAGCATGTTACTAGCATGATTCTAGCATGAATTAGCATGTTACTAGCATGATTCTAGCATGAATTAGCATGTTGTTAGCATGATTCTAGCATGATTTAGCATGTTGTTAGCATGATTCTAGCATGAATTAGCATGTTACTAGCATGATTATAGCATGAATTAGCATGTTACTAGCATGATTCCAGCATGAATTAGCATGTTGTTAGCATAATTCTAGCATGAATTAACATATGACTAGCATGATTCTAGCATGAATTAGCATGTAACTAGCATGATTCTAGCATGAATTAGCATGTTGTTAGCATGATTCTAGCATGAATTAGCATGTTACTAGCATAATTCTAGCATGATTTTGTATGTTGTTAGCATGATTCTAGCATGAATTAGCATGTTACTAGCATGATTCTAGCATGAATTAGCATGTTGTTAGCATGATTCTAGCATGAATTAGCATGCTACTAGCATGATTCTAGCATGAATTAGCATGTTGTTAGCATGATTCTAGCATGAATTAGCATGTGACTAGCATGATTCTAGCATGAATTAGCATGTTGTTAACATGATTCTAGCATGAATTAGCATGTTGTTAGCATGATAGATAGATAGATAGATAGATAGATAGATAGATAGATAGATAGATAGATAGATAGATAGATAGATAGATAAAAACAGTTGATAGATAGATAGATAGATAGATAGATAGATAGATAGATAGATAGATAGATAGATAGATAGATAGATAGATAGATAGATAGATAGATAGATAGATAGATAGATAGATAGATAGATAGATAAAAACAGTTGATAGATAGATAGATAGATAGATAGATAGATAGATAGATAGATAGATAGATAGATAGATAGATAGATAGATAGATAGATAGATAGATAGATAGATAGATAGATAGATTAAAACAGTTTATAGATAGATAGATAGATAGATAGATAGATAGATAGATAGATAGATAGATAGATAGATAGATAGATAGATAGATAGATAGATAGATAGATAGATAGATAGATAGATAGATAGATTAAAACAGTTTATAGATAGATAGATAGATAGATAGATAGATAGATAGATAGATAGATAGATAGATAGATAGATAGATAGATAGATAGATAGATAGATAGATAGATAGATAGATAGATAGATAGATAGATTAAAGCAGTTTATAGATAGATAGATAGATAGATAGATAGATAGATAGATAGATAGATAGATAGATAGATAGATAGATAGATAGATAGATAGATAGATAGATAGATAGATAGATAAAAGCAGTTTGAAAAAGGATAGATAGATAGTTTTGAGGTCACAAAGTTAGATCTATTGTTAAGTCAATGACAGTCTTTTGCAGTAAAAGTCTATGGGACAGTTGTTGCTAGGGTGCAGTATCTGGTAGTTAGGGTGTGGCTAGAAAGTTAAAAGCCCATCAGTTATTGGCAGTTAGGTAGTCTGAGTTAAATGAGCTCAGTCATTAGTCAGTATGACAGTGTGATGCAGAGTTATGAGCTCACAAAGTTTGATCCCATGTTAAGTCAATGAGAGTCTTTTGAATGGAAGTCTATGGGACAGTTTCTAGGGTCCAAAAGTGGTTGCTAGGGCGTGGCCAGAAAGTTAAAAGCTCATCAGTTATTGGCAGTTAGGTAGTCTGAGTTAAATGAGCCCAGTTAGAAGTCTGTGTGACAGTCTGATGCAGAGTTATGAGCTCACAAAGTTTAGTCCAATGTTAAGTCTATGGGATTTTTCCGACGGTCCCGGGACGTTTTTCGGAAAATCGAAAGTCGGATCAGTCGGAAAAGATATGGCATACCGAGTCAGAATAGTTTGGAGGTCTGGTGTGAGTTTGGTGGTCATAGCTCGAAAGCTCTAGGAGGAGATAGATTTTGAATTTTAGTCTCAGAAGAAGAAGAAGAAGAACTAGACAGTAAAGTTCGTCGAGACAAACTTTGAGGCTGGCTTGACAAAGCCTGTTGGTAATAGTTTATTTAGTTTAAAAACAGTTTGAAAAAGTATAAGTAGCATGTTATTAGCATGATTCTAGCATGAATTAGCATGATTCTAGCATGGATTAGCATGTTATTAGCATGAGTGTAGTAAAAATTAGCATGTTATTAGCATGATTCTAGTATGAATTAGCATGTTATTAGCATGATTCTAGCATGAATAGGCATGTTACCAGCATGATTCTAGAATAAATTAGCATGTCACTAGCATGATTCTAGTATGAATTAGCATGCTACTAGCATGATTCTAGCATGAATTAGCATGTTACTAGTATGATTCTAGCATGAATTAGCATGTTACTGGCATGATTCTAGCATGCATTAGCATGTTACTAGCATGATTCTAGTATGAATTAGCCTGTTACTAGCATGATTCTAGTTTGAAATAGCATGATTCTAGTGTGAATTAGCATGTTATTAGCATGATTCTAGCATGAATTAACATGTTATTAGCATGGTTATAGTATGAATTAACATGTTACTAGCATGATTCTAGCGTGAATTAGCATGTTATTAGCATGATTCTAGCATGCATTAGCATGTTACTAGCATGATTCTAGTATGAATTAGCATGTTACTAGCATGATTCTAGTATAAATTAGCATGTTACTATCATGATTCTAGCATGAATTAGCATGTTACTAGCATGATTCTAGCAAGAATTAGCATGTTATTAGCAGGATTCTATTATAAATTAGCATGTTATGAGCATGATTGTAGTATGAATTAGCATGTTACTAGCATGATTCTAGTATGAATTAGCATGTCACATAGCATTCTTAGGTGGTTGCTAGGGTATTCTGAGTGGTTACTAAGTCGTTGCTAGGCAGTTGTTAGGGTGTCCTGAGTGGTTGCTAGGTGGTTGCTAGGGTGTTGCTAGGTGGTTGCTATGGTGTTCTGAGTGGTTGCTAGGAGGTTGCTAAGGTCTTGCTAGGCGGTTGCTAGGGTGTTCTGTGTGGTTGCTAATATGTTGCTAGGTGGTTGCTAGGGTGTTCTGAGTGGTTGCTAAGGTGTTGCTAGGCGGTTGCTAGGGTGTTCTAAGTGGTTGCTAGGTTGTTGCTAAGGTGTTGCTAGGTGGTTGCTAGGGTGTTCTGAGTGGTTGCTAGGTGGTTGCTAAGGTGTTTCTAGGTGGTTGCTAAGGAGTCCTAAGTGGTTGCTAGGCGGTTGCTAAGGTGTTGCTAGGTGGTTGCTAGGGTATTCTGAGTGGTTGCTAAGGCGTTGCTAGGCGGTTGCTAGGGTGTCCTGAGTGGTTGCTAGGTGGTTGCTAAGGTGTTGCTAGGTGGTTTCTAGGGTGTCCTGAGTGGTTGCTTGGTGGTTGCTAAGGCATTGCTAGGCGGTTGCTAGGGTGTTCTGACTGGTTGCTAGGTGGTTGCTAAGGTGTTGCTAGGCGGTTGCTAAGGTGTCCCAAGTGGTTGCTAGGTGGTTGCTAAGGTGTTGCTATGTGGTTGCTAGGGTATTCTGAGTGGTTGCTAAGGCGTTGCTAGGTGGTTGCTAGGGTGTCCCGAGTGGTCGCTAGGCCCTTACTAAGGCATTACTAGGACGTTGCTAGGTGGTTGCTAGGCGGTTGCTAGGGTAATTTGGGTGGTTGCTAGGCAGTTGCTAGGGTACCCTGGGTGGTTACTAGGCAAGCCTCACATACATGCTTGATAAAACATTTATACTTAGTAAGCATGTCTAGCAAGTTACAGTACTTGGCTAGTCAATATTAGCA